CCCCCCCCCCCCCCCACTTCTGGAATAAAACAACTACTTTCAAAGTAAAGAGCACCCAATGAAACAGGAAATAACACTTTGAAACCATTAACGAAGGATTCAGAAGTCTCGGAAGTTTCGAAAAGTTTTGAACAGTTTTTCTGTGAAAATCGGAATTGACTTTAGATCCGAACCACCAGCCCCCAACATCCGAAATGAGTTTTGAACCATTTTTTTGGATCAAACAAGCCTAGTATCTATCTATCTATCTATCTATCTATCTATCTATCTATCTTATCTATCTCCATCCCATTTCCTCTGGTAGCACAATGGGTTAAACCTTTGTGCCGGCAGGACTGCTGACTGGCAGGCCAGCAGTTCAAATCCGGGGAGTGTAGATTGAGCTCCCTCTGTCAGCTCCAGCTCCCCATGGGGGGACATGAGAGAAGCCTCCCACAAGGATGGTGAAAATCAAACTGGGCAACGTCCTTGCAGATGGCCAATTCTCTCACACCAGAAGCAACTTGAAGTTTCTCAAGTCACTCCTGATATCAATATAAATAAAAATATAATGTTAGTTTGTGGGATTAACATAACTCAAAAACCATTGGAAGCATTGACACCAAATTTGGATGCAATACACATATCAGGCCAACGAGTGACCATCACTCATAAAAACACTGAAAAACATAGCGGAAGAGACTTAAAAGGCCAAAAAATAAAAACCATAATGCATGCGTAAACCCACATATACAGACGCAAACACACGCATATACACATATACACAAATATATACACTCACATATACATACACAAAGCACATATACACGGACTGGGCCACAGCAACACATGGCAGGATATGTCTAGTATATCCATATAAATAAAAATGTAATGTTAATTTGTGGGATTAACATAACTCAAAAACCACCGGACGAATTGGCCACAAATTTGGACACAAGACACCTCTCAGGCCAACAAGTGACCGTCACTCATAAAACACTGGAAAATCAGCAGAAGAGACTTAAAAAACCAAAAAAGAAAAAATACATTACAGCGCATGCGCAAAACCACATATGTACACAAACACACATATATACACGCAAAACACATATGCATAGACTGGGCCAAAGCAATGTGTGGCAGGGACAGCTAATAGTAATAATAAGAATCATCATCATCTATATAAATAAAAATGTAATGTTCGTTTGCAGGATTAACAGAACTCAAAAACCACTGGGCGAATTGACACCAATTTGGACACAATACACCTATCAGGCTAATGAGTGACCATCACTCACAAAACACTGAAAAACACAGCAGATGAGACTTTAAAAGCCAAAAAATAAAAAATACATGACATTGCATGTGCAAAACCACATATATACACATACACATAAATACACACACAAAACGCATATACACAGACTGGGCCACAGCAACGTGTGGCAGGGGATGGCTAGTATATATGTCTGTGTGTTATTTATTTACTTTGTGTCAAAAGCATTGCATCAATAAGTATAAAACTGATAGAGAACAAGCCCTATGAGGAGCAGCTTAAAGAGCTGGGCATGTTTAGCCTGAAGAAGACAAGGCTGAGAGGAGACATGATAGCCATGTATAAATATGTGAGAGGAAGTCATTGGGAGGAGGGAGCAAGCTTGCTTTTTGCTTCTCTGGAGACTAGGATGTGGAACAATGGCTTCAAATTACAGGAAAGGAGATTCCATCTGAACATTAGGAAGAACTTCCTGACGGTGAGAGCCGTTTAGCAGTGGAACTCTCTCCCACAGTGTGTGGTGGAGGCTCATTCTTTGGAAGCTTTTAAACAGAGGCTGGATGGCCATCTGTCTGGGGTGCTTTGAATGCAATTTTCCTGCTTCTTGGCAGTGGGTTGGATTGGATGGCCCATGTGGTCTCTTCCAACTCTATGATTCTATCTGATAAACATAGCTGAAGGTAGTTTTATTCACCATGCCTTTAATAAGTTGGTGCATGAAACAAAGATTGTGCAATTGAACCATCAGAAAGCAAAGGTGCCACCCATGTGGGCAATTTCAGATTTTGGAGTATTTGGGATTTCGGATTTTTGGGTCAGGAATGCCTAATCTGTATTTGTAATGTATTTGATTTGTTTGTGTGAAGCTCTTGACTGTTTATGGAGATCCGTTTTATTGCTAGTTGATGACATGTAGTTACTGTGCAAATACAAAACTCTTGTTTCCAATCTTCCGTTATCACTGAGATCTTGTTCTCTAAAGTTTTCAGCTCTTCCGCATTGTGTTTATTTCATGCTTATTGTTTTGTTCAATTAAAAATATGTGTCCTCAAACTGTCATTCCCAGGTGGCTATAAAACAAATGAATCTCCAACAGCAACCCAAAAAGGAATTAATAATTAATGAAATCCTGGTCATGAGGGAAAATAAGAATTCAAACATCGTGAACTATTTAGATAGGTAAGTAAGACCGGATCTTGGTTTGGCATTGTTTTCTGAAGTGCTTTTTGGTAAGAAATGAAGACTATCATTGTGAGTTATGATATGGTTCATTCAGTGTAAGCCATCGTAACTCACTGTTTTGTGGAAATTTTGCCTCAACAACCAAAATACCTCTCCAAACCCTATCTTTTCCTCTTATGAACCTTATCAACCTCAATATAATCCTTTCCTGATTGGTGGAAGGTAGACAAAGCAGCAAATAAAATCCAGTTATTTTCCCATAGCTCAGCATTTCTCAACCTGGGGGTTGGGACCCCTGGCCGGGTATCGCAAGAGGGTTTCAGAGGGGTCCCCAAGGCCATCTGTCTGTACCGGTCCTTTTCTACCTTTTGGGAAACAGATGGTGAATCCTCCCATCGAAAGTCCTCCTCCGCTGTGATTGCTTGGCCTCTCAAGCAAGGGGAGGGCTGTTTCTGAGGCTCCAAGCAGGAAGGGGAGAGCAGGCATCCTCCGTGTATGGCAGCATGGTGTGCATGTGCAGGCAAGGGAGAACATACGAGGCTGGAGGGAAGCTCATGCCAGTGAGTCCCTTCAAGGCATGGGGATCTGTGTGGGAAGTTTGGCACAATTCCATCATTGTTTGAGTCCACAGTGCTCTCTGGATGTAGGTGAACTACAACTCCAAAACGCAAGGTCAGTGCCCACCAAACCCTTACTGTTTTTTTCTGTTGGTCATTGAAGTTCTGAGTACTAAGTTTGGATCAATTCCATTGTTGGTGGGGTTCAGAATGCTCTTTTATTGTAGGTGAACTATAAATCCCAGCAACAAAAACTCCCAAAGGTCAAGGTCTATTTTCCCCAAACACCACCAGTGTTCACATTTGCATGTATTGATTATTCGTGCCAAGTTTGATCCAGATCCATCATTGTTTGGGTCCACAGTGTTCTCTGGATGTACGTCAACTACAACTCCAAACTCAAGGTCAATGCCCCAAACCTTTCCAGTATTTTCTGTTGATCATGGGAGTTCTGTGTGCCAATATTGTTTCAATCCCATCGTTGGTTGAGTTCAGAATGCTATTTGGTTGCAGCTAAACTATAAATCCCAGCAACTACAACTCCCAAATGACAGAATCAATCCCCGCTCCAACCCCACCAGTATTCAGATTTCGGCATATTGGGTTTTTGTGCTAAATTTGGTCCAGTGAATGAATATACATCCTGCATATCAGATATTTACATTACGATTCATAACAGTAGCAAAATTGCAGTTATGAGGTAGCAACTAAAATAATTTTATGGTTGGGGGTCACTATAACATGAGGAATTGTATTAAGAGGTCGCGGCGTTAGGAAGGTTGAGAAACACTACCATAGCTGAATGCACAGTACAAGATTCAGTTTCCAATTATTTGCTTTTTTTTTTGGACCGGTCTAAAGTATAACCATATAACACACTTTCGACCCCTGATCCGCTCTTTTGCCCATGCTCTGCTTACTCCCCAGTTTTTTCTCAAGTAGATCCACCGCCATCTAGTGCTCAACCTTGCATTTGCAAGCTAAAGATTGTTGTTGTTCATTCGTTCAGTCGTCTCCGACTCTTCGTGACCTCATGGACCAGCCCACGCCAGACCTCCCTGTCAGCCGTCACCACCCCCAGCTCCTTCAAGGTCAGTCCAGTTACTTCAAGGATGCCATCCATCCATCTTGCCCTTGGTTGGCTAAAGATAGGCCAATGCTATCCAATTGCTTCAGTTTTTGAGAGTGCTCTGGTCTTTGAGCTGTCAAATAAGTGAGGGAGGCCTGTATTGATGTCACCCTTAGGGACCACCATAGGAACTTTGGACCCATTTACACTACAGAATAATAAGACATTAGGTGCCATGAACGTCTCTCAACCACATGAGTGATATTGATATATAGTGCCATGATTGTTGTTTTCATATTTAAGGAGTTTGTTCAGAATAGCACCCTAGAGATGTTTAAATATTAGGGCTGGGCGGTTTCGTTTCGTTAATTCGTAATTCGTTAATAATTCGTTAATTTTTTCAATTACAAAACGATAACAAACCATTCTGGAGCAATTATTTAAAAAAACGAATTTTCAAAAACGTTTTGTAAATGCTTCGTATTTCGATATTGTATTCGTTTCGTTATTGTTTTGAGGTCGTTTCGTTATTATTTCCGCATGTCTGGGCCAGTTTTATGGTTTAATTAGTGAAAAAAAATTATAATATCACACCAACAGTCAACAACAGAGGGAGAGGGAAGCTTCAGAAGGTTTTGGAGGTTTTTTAGCGTATTTCGCGGTCGCGTCCGCCATTAACGAATCGATTCGTTATTGTTTCGGAAATCGATTCGTTAATTTTTTACCATTTACGAAATTTCGTAAATATCAAACTTTTTTAAAAGGAAAATTTTGTAATTATTTTAAATATCGAAACAAAAAAACACCCCAATTACAAATCGATTTTAGAACCAAATTTTTTCTTGATCAACCAGGCCTATTAAATACGTTCACAAACAATCTTTCAATGGTTTGTTTTTCAGTTACCTTGTTGGTGATGAACTTTGGGTCGTCATGGAGTATTTGGCCGGGGGTTCGTTGACGGATGTTGTTACAGAAACCTGCATGGATGAAGGACAAATAGCTGCTGTCTGTAGGGAGGTAAGAGGTTTCCACTACAGTTAGAGTGATGTCAAGCTGCATTCATTCTACAGCAAGCTTGGGCAAACTTATGCCTTCCAAGTGTTTTGGACTTCAATTCCCACAATTCCTAACAGTCTCAAGCCCCTTCCTTTTCCTGGAGGGCTGAAGTTTGCCCATGCTTGTCCTACAGTGTAGATGCACCCAGATGAAACCACAGGCTCCCAAACACAATTCTCAGATGTTGGGTTTCAGCCAACATGGCTAGTGGTCAGATATGGTAGGAATTGTAATCCAATAATATCTAAAATCTATATTAAGAATCTCTGGGTTGGAGATATACTTTAATGGGAGTTTATTCACTTCATGATATCATAGCTAATAATATAATATAATATATTGTATATATTGGGAGCCCCTGGTGGTGCAGTGGGTTAAAGCACTGAGCTGCTGAGCTTGTTGATCGAAAGGTCACAGGTTCAATTCCGGGGAGCGGCGTGAGCTTCCGCTATCAGCCCTAGCTTGTGCCAACCTACCAGTTCAAAAACATGCAAATGTGAGTAGATCAATAGGTACCGCTCCAGCGGGAAGGTAACGGCGCTCCATGCAGTCATGCCGGCCACATGACCTTGGAGGTGTCTACGGACAACGCTGGCTCTTTGGCTTAGAAATGGAGATGAGCACCACACCCCAGAGTCAGACATGACTGGACTTAATGTCAGGGGACAAGCTTTACCTATATTGTATATACCTATAATATTTGTAATCTATATAAATAAAAACGTAATGTTCATTTGTGGGATTAACATAACTCAAAAACCACTGGACAAATTGACATGAAATTTGGCCACAAGGCACCTATCAGGCCAACAAGTGACCATCACTCATAAAAACACTGAAAAATACAGCAGAAGAGACTTAAAAAGCCAAAAAACAAAAAATACATTACAACGCATGCACAAAACCACATATGTACACTAACACACATATACACAAATATATACAGAATTATATATACACATATATGTACACACAAAACACATACACAGAAAGAGGGAGAGAAGGAAGGAAGGAGAGAAGGAGGGAGAGAAAAAGGGAAAGAAGGAGAGATGGAATGAAAGGTAGAGAAGGAAGGAGGCAGAGAAGAAAATAAAAAGTGAAAGAGGGAAGAAAGGAGAGAAGAAAATAAAAAAGTGAAAGAGGGAAGGAAGCAGAGAAGAAAATAAAAAAGTGAAAGAGGGAAGGAAGGAGAGAAGAAAATAAAAAAGTGAAAGAGGGAAGGAAGGAGAGAAGAAAATAAAAAAGTGAAAGTGGGAAGGAAGGAGAGAAGAAAATAAAAAAATGAAAGAGGGAAGGAAGGAGAGAAGGAACGAAAGAGAGAAAGAGGGAGGGAAGGAAGGAAGGAAGGAAGGAAAGAGACAAGGAAGGATGGAACCAAAGAGCAAAGGAAGCGAGAAAAGAAACAGGTAGAGAAGGAAGAAAGAGGAAGGGAAAGAAAAAGCGGGAAGGAAGGAAAGAGGGAGGGAGGGAAGGAAGGAGAGAGAGAAAGAAGGAGAAAAAGATGGAGGGAAGGTTGGCCACAGCAATGCGTGGCAGGTACAGCTAGTATTATAATGTAATGCAATATAATACTAATAATTATAATAATATGATATTATATTTATATTTTATATTACATGTTATTATTACTAATAATATTACAATATAATGGTATAGTACAATATAGTAATATTATTTAATACTGATATTGTAGTATGCTAATAATATAATATATTGTATGTATATATATATCTTGTAAGCCGCTCTGAGTCCCCTTTGGGGTGAGAAGGGTGGCATACAAATATCGTAAATAAATAATAAATAAATAATAGCTGTAAACATAGAAATGAAACATTTCCATTACTCATTAGTACTGAGTTGTTTTTAGTTGTATTACTACTATAGGCAGCTGTTGTTGTTATTGGGTTGCTATGAGTTTTCCGGGCTGTATGGCCATGTTCTAGAAGCATTCTCTCCTTACGTTTCAGCCACATCTATGCCAGGCATCCTCAGAGGTTGTGAAGTCTCACAACCTCGGAGGATGCCTGCCATAGATGTGGGCAAAAAGGCAGGAGGGAATGCTTCTATAACATGGCCATACAGCCTGGAAAACTGATAGAAACCCAGTGATTCCAGCCATGAAAGCCTTTGACAACACATTATTATTATTATTATTATTATTATTATTATTATTATTATTATTATTATTTTACCAGTGCCTGCAAGCTCTAGATTTCTTGCATTCAAACCAAGTGATCCATCGAGACATCAAGAGTGACAACATTCTCCTTGGGATGGATGGATCTGTCAAACTCAGTAGGTATTCTTTTTACACTTCTACTTTCAAAGCATTGTTATTGGATTATCCCTGTTATTGTTATTGCTGTTGCTAGCCTGCCTTTCCCCAGAACTGAAGATACAAAAATATTGACTCCATTTTTTGACTCCACTTTTACTGGCATAGCTCAATTCTATGGAATCCTGGGAGTTGTAGTTTTGCAAGGTCTTAAGCCTTCTCTGCCAGAAAGTGTTGGTCCCTCACCAAATTACAACTCCCAGGATTCCATAGCATCGAGCCATAGCAGTTCAACCAGTGTCAAACTGCATTCATTCTACATTGTAATTTAACTGATTTACGAGGTCATAAAAATCTCCAGGAAGTATGCAAAAACGAGGAAGTACTTCATCAGTGTCACAAATGGACGGTGAAGCAACAGCTCCCCTGGTGGCCAGAAGCTGGAATGTTAAATAGCCTCTGTTTGTCTGTGTATATATGTTGTGTGTCTGTGGCATTGAATGTTTGCCATGTATATGTACATTGTAATCTGCCCTAAATCCCCTGCGAGGTGAGAAGGGCGGAATATAAATACTGCAAATATATAAACAAATAAATTGTAGATCCAACCTATGTTTGACAAAGTGATGTAATTTTCTATTTTTTTTCCTTGAAGGAAGAAATGAGTAATTTCAGCAGTTTTTTTCTCACTGTAATACAGTCTTCAAAAACCCACCAGTTTTCAATTATTTCCCTATAATTCGGGACTTATTTTCTGCAGACTTTCCATGTGGTCATTTTGTGTAGAAAATGGTATTGTTTGTGAAGAAATATTAAATCCCCCACAGAAGATGCATTTTCCCCTGCAGAACAGTTACAGTCTCATTCTGTGAAAAAAAAATCAATAGAAAATGGCATTTTCAGCTCAGATAATAGCATTTTCTGCACAGAAATCTGAATGTTGTGAGTTTTGTGCGACATAAGTTCCAGGTTGTGAAAATTTTTGTTAGTCCCAAATACATCTCTTCTGGGTTTCCTGACACTTAAGAAACATGTTCTTTATCCATTTAACAAATATTTTCCAATACTCTTGTCTATATTGTTTGCACTTTTGAGTTTCTCTTGTTGGACACTGTAAGATAAGTCAAAGCCGCATTTTGGACTTTAGGAGAGCTGATTTCTGAAAAATGAAGGAAACACTGAGCAGCATTCCATGGACACAGATACTAAAAGACAAGGGGGTTATGGATGGATGGGAGTTTCTCAAGAGTGAAATACCCAAGGCACAATTGCAAACAGTGCCAACAAAGAGAAAAAAATAGGACAAGTGCAAAGAAGCCAGAATGGATGTCCAAAGAACTTCTAACTGTGCTAAGACACAAAAGAGACAGGCACAAGAAGTGGGAAAAGGGAGAAATCGCCAAAGAAGAATTCAAACAAATAGCCAACTCTTGTAGGGAAAAGGTCCGCAAAGCTAAAGCACAAAACAAGCTCAGGCTTGCCAGGGACATTAAAAACAATAAAAAGGGGTTCTTTTCTTATGTCAGTAGGAAAAGGATTCGAATCTGTTCTTTACCGTGGTTTCTCCTGACTCTGTGACCTTTTTGCCAGATGTCTGCATCTTCTGTCTGATCTTCTCTAGTCTCAACTCTTTGTTTTGTCTCCTTTATAGCTGACTTTGGCTTCTGTGCCCAGATTACGCCGGAGCAAAGTAAACGGAGCACAATGGTAGGGACCCCTTACTGGATGGCGCCCGAAGTCGTCACGCGGAAAGCGTACGGCCCCAAAGTGGACATCTGGTCTTTAGGGATCATGGCAATAGAAATGGTGGAAGGAGAACCTCCGTATCTGAATGAAAATCCTCTCAGGGTAAGAGCAAAGTCTGATGCTAATTGTGCTAATTGTTAATTGTGCTAATTTTGTGTTGTTACCCTTCTTTACTTGCATTTTGTTTTGAATGTGTTTTGCGAAAACAGGGAAGGAAAAGTCCAATCCTAATACAGAGTACACAGAGTAATCAGTGTGTTGTGTATCTATTTGCTCTTTTAGGCCTTGTACTTGATAGCCACAAATGGGACACCTGAACTCCAGAATCCCGAGAGATTATCTGCTGTTTTCCGAGATTTTTTGAACCGCTGTCTTGAGATGGATGTTGACCGACGCGGTTCTGCAAAGGAACTTTTGCAGGTACATGGGAAAGGAGCCCCTGGTGGCACAGCGGGTTGAACCGCTGAGATGCTGAACTTGCTGATCGAAAGGTCGGTGGTTCGAATCTGGGAAGTGGGGTGAGCTCCCTCTGTTAGCCTCAGCTTCTGCCAACCTAGTAGTTCAAAAACATGAAAATGTCAGTAGATCAACAGGTACCACTCCAATGGGAAGGTAACGGCGCTCCATGCAGTCATGCCGGCCATATGCCCTTGGAGGTTTCTACGGACAACGCTGGCTCTTCAGCTTAGAAATGGAGATGAGGACCAACTCCCAGAGACAGACACGACTAGACTTAATGTCAGGGAAAAATCTTTACCCTTTACCTTAGGGAAAGGTGAATAGGGGAGGAAGGATTAAGGGACACATCATAGCGAGGCACCTTTGCTATGGCTGTCCCTTACATTAGGCAGACCAAGTGGAATGCCTCAAGTGGAATAACATTCGCCAACATGCGTTTTGGTGCCTCAAGTAGTGAACCTGTTTCTTGATATAGTTAACCTGTATCCAAAATTGCACCATTTTCCCATGATCAGCTGTAATTTTAGGAGCTGCAGTGGGAGAAATAGTTAAACCCTTGTGCCAGCTAAACTTCTGTCTTGAAGATCTGAAGGTCAGAGGTTCAAAATCATGAGACAGGGTGAGCTCCTGTCTGTCAGCTCCAGCTTCCATTCAGGGACACGAGAAAAGCCTCCCATATTATGGGAATACATCTGGGCATCCCCTGGGCAATGTAGACAGCTGATTCTCTCACATCAGAAGTGACTTGCAGTATATTCTCTGACACAATCAGAAAAAGTTCTAGTTTTGAGATCAAAAGTGCTGACTTTGGCCTATAAAGCCCTATACGGCTTTACAATTTACCTTTCCGAACGTATCTCCCCCTATGAGCCATTCTGGAAATTAAGATTCTCTGGGGAGGCCCTGCTCTCCATCCTGCCATTGTCACAGGCATGATTGATGGGGACAAGAGACAGGGCCTTCTCGGTGATTGTCCCCGAGCTATGGTGAGATCAGGTCGGCCCCCTCCCTCCTGTCCTTCAAAAGGATGGTAAAAACTTGGTTGTGGGACCAAGTTTTCAGGACAGGGCAATAAAGCAGCAATAGGAAAGATTACCAGGCCAATTAGATTTGACGCAGATGACCAAGACGGTTTTAAATTGTGTATTTTAATATTGAGAGAAATGTTTTTAATGTTTATGCATGAGTATATGAATTTTTGTCCCGGCATTGAATGTCTGCCGTATATATGCTGTGCTCTGCCCTGAGTCCCCTTTGGGGTGAGAAGGGTAGAAGAGAAATGTTTTAAATAAATAAATAAATAAATAAATATGCCATCTACTTGTTGTTGAGCTGTGTAATACACTCAACCCCCCATATTCACTGGAGATAGGGATACAAGACCTCCATGAAAATGAAAAAAAAAAGTTTAAAAATTGCTCTTTCTTTCCCTACATGCCTATAGATGGTAAGCAATCTTTCTTCTTCTTCCTTCCAGCATCCGTTTTTAAAACTGGCCAAGCCACTCTCCAGTTTGACCCCGTTGATCATTGCGGCAAAGGAGGCGATAAAGAACAGTAGTCGCTAGCGGCTTGAGTCGCCCATATTTACTCCATCTTAGCGGGACTGAATTGGGGGGGAAACGACTCTGTCGAACCTCAGACTTTTTCTGCTGCTGGATGGGAAGGTGAAGAACCATCATGGTCGCAGTTGACGGGGGACAGAGGTCGTGGTCCTCTGCCCCTCCCTGCAGAAGAGAAAACTTATCACTTGTCTCCTTCCCTCTCTTAGACCCCTTAATTTATTTCTAAGGTGAACAGGAGCTTCGCGGACAGAGGCAGGACCGTAAGCTTCTTTTGTGCTTTCGGCCATTTCTTGGGAACGGGGGAGCGACGGTGCCGCATGAAGGCTCTCCGCACTCATCCGGACAAGAGCGGCAGCCCCAACGGCCCCCTCCTCTTCTGAGTCTTCCCCCACTCCTCTTTTGGCTTTGAAACTGAAGGGAGGTCCTCTTCCACTCCACTCCTTGGGACGGATCCCAAACTGTTTACAAGCAACTGGTCGGTTTGCTTGTCCTGAGATGAGGAGGATCCTGAGGAAGCTTGCTTTATTTAACCAAATAATAATGATGATGATAATAATAATTAATAAACCAAGAAGCAGATCAATCACAGCATCCTCTTTGGGGTGGGTGGGGATTATGCCTTGAAATATGGATAGCATCACATTCCTGGGAAACCTAAGGATGATGTGCTAGGTATTGGCGTTTCTAAGCTGGTGGATTCTTCTTCCCCAAGAAGAAACAAAACTTGTAATGTGAGAATCTCATTGTTCCAACTGGGCTCATATTGACTTCATAGCTAATATAGTATGACCTCTCATATCCATGAGATTGGTCTTCATGATTTCACTTATTTGCATCTGAAAAAAATTTCTCTCTAGGAATTTTCTAGGTCCTCCAGTATGATTCTGTGGTATGTTTTTGCCAGAATATGGCCATAGAGCCATGTTGGCGGAACTAAAAATGCTAAAGATGTGGTCTCTAGGTCCTTCATGCAGTGTATGCGTCTGCCAGAGTATGACCATAGATTCATGCTAGAAGACTTAGAAATGCTAGAGAGTTGCTCTCTAGGAATATTCTAGGTAATCTACTGGGACTCTGTGATACATTTTTGCCAGGAGATTACCATAGAGCCATGTTGGAGGACCTAGAAATGCTAATGATGTGGTCTCTTAAGTCCTTCATGCAGTGTGGTATGCTTCTGACAGAGGATGACCATAGATTCATGCTAGAAGAGCTAGAAATGTTGGAGAGCCGTTCTCTAGGATTATTCTAGGTCCTCTAGTGGGACTCTCTTAGACATTTTTGTCAGAAGATGACCATAGAGCCATGTTGGAGGACCTAGAAATACTAAGGATGTGGTCTCTAGGTCCTTCATGCAGCGTGGTATGTGTTTGCCAGAAGATGACCACAGATTCATGCTAGAAGAGCTAGAAATGCTGGAGAGCTGCTCTCTAGGAATATTCTAGGTTATCTACTGGGACTCTGTGATACATTTTGCCAGAAGATGACAACAGAGCCATGTTGGAGGACCTAGAAATGCTAATTCTGTGGTCTCTAAGTCCTTCATGCAGTGTGGTATACTTCTGACAGAGGATGACCATAGATTCATGCTAGAAGACCTAGAAATGCTAGAGAACTTCTTTCTAGAAATACTCCTTGTCCTCTATTGGGACTCTGGGATACATTTTTTGCCAGAAGATGACCTTAGAGTCATGCTGGAGAACCAAGAAATGCTAAGGAGGTGTTCTTTCTAATCATTTACTAGATGCTTCCACATGAATCTATGATAGGCTTCCACTGGAAGCTGACCAAAGGTTCATTCTGGAAGACCTCAAAATGCTAGAGAGTCCAGCATGATTCTCCGGAGGAACTAAACATCTAAGTCTTCCAGAGAGACTCCATGATATGCTTCCACTGGGATTTGTTCATTTTGAAAGGATTCACAATTACTTGCAGTTTCATGTTTCCACAATAAGCCCAGAAATGTCTTCTCTGCAGTTATGGGGATCGTTGTACAATCACCAATGAGACCAGTTTGGCCAAGTGCTCATTTCCTTCCCAATCCCACTGAACTGAAGTTGACCAGGAATCTACGTCATACTTCAGGATTCGGACTTACTGCACCTAGATTCTTAAAGAACTCACTTACAAGGGAAACAGGACCTTTGCTTCCATGGTAGTTCCAAAACTCACTGAGCCATAGCTGGTCATGCCATAATCCATACTGGTGTTGTCTTGAGAAAATGGCCTCATGGACCTCCCGTGACGTTAACCTAACTGGGTCTAGGAGAACACCATCTTCAAGCCATGGTCATTGTGATGGTGTTAGCTGAAAATTCTTCCTCCTCCATAGAAAAAACTTGGCTGAGTATCTGAAGCCATCTCAATAAACAGGGTTTGGGGAGGGTTGTAGTGGTTTGGAGCCTTACTCTGAGGATTCCCACCCGATTGCTGTGTGTACTGAAATAGGTAGGTTTGGTGCTCATGAAAGTAGGAATTATTTTTCCAGAGCCACAAAGGAGCGTGGAAAATGCAGCAATATCTAAACCTGTTGTGGGGATTTCTTGCTTAGGTTTGCTATAAGCTGTGATCCTGAATGCATACTGTTGAACCTGGAATCTCTGAACTCTTTGTATTGCTGAAACTGGGCCATGACTGTGAATATCTGTTCAAGAAGCAAACAAGCTTTGATTAAATGAATTTGCATTAATGTTTCTTCCGACACGAGTTGGGCCGATCTGGTTCTCTTTTACTCTGTGGACATGGGCTGGCATTGAATCACATCCAGCAAAAGATGAGGGCAATTTAAATGTCTTTCCACACCTTTCTTGGTGCCTTGAAGAGCCACTCAATCTGTAGATATCAGTCGTTGAAAAATAGATCTTGGAAAGCTTTTCTCAATGGTTTCTTTATATTAAACAGCTCTTAAAGGCAACGGAGCCAGTTTGATTTGGAGAGTTGAAGTTACTGTACTTTGGGTTGTTGGGAGTTTTCTGGGCTGTATGGCCATGTTCCAGAAGCATTCTCTCCTGACGTTTCACCCACATCTATGGCAGGCATCCTCAGAGATTGTGAGGTTTGTTGGAAACTAGGCAAGTGGGGCTTATATATCTGTGAAATGTTCAGGGTGGGAGAAAGAACTCTTGTCTGTTGGAGGCAAGTGTGAATGTTTGCATTGGCCACCAGAGGTTTAGCACAGCTGGTAAATCATCAGCAATTATAAGATGTATCAGCCAAAAGGTTGCAAGTTCAAAGCCCTGGGTTGGTGTGAGCTGCCATCTGTCAGCCTAGCTCATTGTTTACCTAAGCAATTCAAAAACATCTGTAGCTGTGATTAGAGAAATTAGGTACCACTAAAAGCAGGGGAGGTGTTTTATGATGCCATGAAGGAAGAAGATCAGAAAATGCTGGGTGATCAAAAGGAAGGAGGAAGTCCTGATGGCTCTTCATCATAGAGGATAGAGCAACAGCACCCCCTGAACTTGAGCCCAACCTTCCATGGCAGCTCCTTCTGTTCTGTCTGTGTATTGTCTATACAAAGCGGCATTGAATGTTTGCCGTGTATGTGTACTGTGATCCGCCCTGACTCCCCTTCGGGGTGAAAAGGGTGGGATATAAATAAAGTGTTGGTGTTGTTAATGGCCCAGCAGTTTCAAGGTTTGGTTGCTTCCTGCCAGCTAATCACCTCCCAACAAAGGATTCCCCCAGGCGGGAAGCAGCCAGACTTTGAAACTGCTAGGCCATTAAATGCTAATCAAGGTGGCCGATTGAAACTTTCACACCTACCTCTAACAGAAAATTGTTTAGCACAGGCATGGACAAACTTTGGCCCTCCAGGTGTTTTGGACTTCAACTCCCACAATTCCTAACAGCCTCAGATCCTTTCCTTTTCCCCCTCAACTGCTTAAGTGGCTGAGGGGGGAAAGGAAGGGGCTTGAGGCGGTTAGGAATTGTGGGAGTTGAAGTCCAAAACACCTGGAGGGCTGAAGTTTGCCCATGCCTGGTTTAGCAGCTTCCATACTTCTTTGGATTGGATCCATGACTTTTATCCTTAACAGAACTTGAAAAAACTGTAAAGCTTCATCAAGTGAAGATCACTGTCCTCCTTCACTTTCCAAACCCCAAATACTGCTACAACTTAGAGCAGTGGCTCTCAACCTTCCTAATGCCATGACCCCTTAATACAGTTCATCATGTTGTGGTAACCCCCAACCTTAAAATTATTTTTGTTGCTACTTCATACGTAACTGTAATTTTGCTACTGTTATGAATCATTATGCAATTTAATGGCCTAGCAGTTTCAAGGTTTGGCTGCTTCCTGCCAGCTAATCACCTCCCAACAAAGGATTCCTCCAGACAGGAAGCAGCCAAACCTTGAACTGCTAGGTCATTAGATGCTAATCAAGGTGACCAATTGAAACATTCACACCTACCTCTAACAGACAATTGGCCACCTTGATTAGCATCTAATGACCTAGCAGTTTCAAGATTTGGCTGCTTCCTCCCTGGGGGAATCCTTTTTTGGGGGGAACCCTTTTCAGGAAGCAGCCAAACTTTGAAACTGCTAGGCTTGTCAAGGTGGCCAATGGAAACATTCACATTTGCCTCAAACAGACAAGAGTTCTCTCTCCCATCCTGGACATTCCACAGATATATAAACCCCATTTTCCTAGTTTCCAACAGACCTCACAACCTCTGAGGATGCCTGTCATAGATGCAGGCGAAATGTCAGGAGAAAATGCTTCTGGAACATGGCCAGACAGTTTGGAAAACCCACAACAACCCAGTGATTCCGGCTATGGAAGCCTTCGACAATACATTACTGTACTTTAGTTTCAAGAGCAAGATGAAATGATATGGAAGTGTGTGCACCTGTGAGTGTATATTTGTGTGTGTGTTGACTGTTGGCCATGAGCCCAGGAAGGCAGAGCAAAGGAGGACATTCGATCCATTTCAGAAACGAAAGAAACTTCTCCTCCCTTGAAGTTAAATTTGCACATCATCACATTCAACATTTTGTACGCCTGGGTTATTTCTTTTGGTGTGTCCCTTTTCCAGTCACAGATGGCCAGTCGTTGCCATATCATTTGAACTGAGGATCAAATTTGGAATTTAGGCTGAACCCATGGAGCTCACCTCACTTTAGGAAAGCTCCTTTGAAGTTTGGATCAAAATCCAGGGTGGATTGGTCAGTTCTCTGACATGGGAGCTGCTCTCCCCGGTTGTACTCCAATGCTGCTCCTCATGTTGTAACTTTCTGAATGTTTGTATTGTCCTTGGTGGGCATCCAAGATCATGTTCATACAGGCCTTACGGAGTTTTCCTTTCTTTTGCCATTGGAAGGCAGAGCTCTTTAATAAACCATGGGGCAACTCTCTGGGGTTCCTTTATTTCTTCTTTATGGAAACGTAGTGTAATGGTGTAGAGCAGGCATGGGCAAACTTGGGCCCTCCGGGTGTTTTGGACAGCTTCAGGCTGAGGGGGAAAAGGAAGGGGCCTGAGGCTGTTAGGAATTGTGGGAGTTGAAGTCCAAAACACCTGGAGGGCCAAAATTTACCCATGCTTGGTGTAGAAGCAATCCTACACTAGATCCTATTGGTAACTGCAGTGAGAATAAACCTATGAAATGGAATTGACTTGCCACGTGATTGCTGATTGGATGCTTCTGCTTTAGTTGGGTATGCCAATGAAATCCAGTCTTCATAGAATCATAGAGTTGAAAGAGACCTCATGGGCCATCCAGTCCAACCCCCTGCCAAGAAGCAGGAATATTGCATTTAAAGCACCCCTGACAGATGGCCATCCAGCCTCGGTTTAAAAGCTTCCAAAGAAGGAGCCTCCACCACACCCCGAGGCAGAGAGTTCCACTGCTGAACAGCTCTCACAGTCAGGAAGTTCTTCCTCATGTTCAGATGGAATCTCCTTTCTTGTAGTTTGAGTTTCATGGGTAGAGTTAGCCATCAATCCTTGTTTGACCATGCTCTTATCAGTAAAATTTTGTCAATCAATAGCACTGAGGCCTGAAAAACATGTTCCTAACATTCCGTTCCGCCAGATTTTTCTGTGGGATCACACTGCCATATAATGCAGTTTAACCACATTGCATTGCATTATATGACATTGTAGACTTGTATAAGGAAGTGCGGTACAGCTTATTTATTTACAGCATTTATATTCCATCCTTCTCACCTTGAAGGGGACTCAGAGCGGATCACAGAACACATACATCAAACATTCAATGCTGTTAGACAGGACAGACATCAGATAGAGGTATATGTTGGCATTTACCCCAACTTCGGTGTCCTGGAGGTTGTGCTCAATGCTGGTCACAAGGGGGTGCTGTTGCTCCATCCTCTATGATGAAGAGCCCTTGATCACAGACTTCCTCCTTTCTTTGATCAAAGGCATTTTATGGTATTTCCTATTTTTATGGTGCAGTAAAATACCTCCCTGCTTAAGCGGTGACCCAGTGGCACAGTGGGTTAAAGTGTTGAGCTGCTGAGCTTGTTGACTGAAAGGTCGCAGGTTCGAATCTGGGGAGTGGCATGAGCTTCCGCTGTCGGCCCCAGCTTCTGCAACCTAGTAGTTCGAAAGCATGCAAATGTGAGTAGATCAATAGGCACTGCTCTGGCAGGAAGGTAACAGCGCTTCATGCAGTCATCCCAGCCACATGACCTTGTAAGTGTCTACGGACAATGCCGGCTCTTTGGCTTAGAAATGGAGATAAGCACCACACGACTGGACTTCATGTCAGGGGAAAGCCTTTACATTCACCTTTACCTAATTTCTCTACTCACAGCTGTTTTTTAACTGCCTAGGTGGACAGTAAGCTGGGTTGAAGGTTGAGTGCTCACCCTGACCCAGGTTTCAAACTGCCAACCTTTCAATTGGTATGATCTATTGCTGCTGGTGATTAACCAGCTGTGCTAAAGACCGACCCATAATTCAGTTAAACTGAATTATGAAATTGCATTATATGACAGTGTAGATGGGACCATGGTCACTTTCCAAAGTAAAGGTGCAAAAAAATCAATAGGTCAGGGAATCCACCCTAGATTTTAGTCCAAACTTTCAAGAAGCCAAATTGGTTTGGTGATATTGTTTAACACGGGCAAACTTGGGCCCTCCAGGGTTTGTCCTCCTTCACTTTCCAAACTACAAATACTGCTAAAACTTAGAGCAGTGTTTCTCAACCTTCCTAATGCCGCAACTCCTTAATACAGTCCATTATGTTGTGGGACCCCTAACCATAAAATTATTTTTGTTGCTACTTCATAACTGTAATTTTGCTACTGTTATTAATTGTAATGTAAATATCTGATACACAAGATGCATTTTCATTCACTGGGCTACATTGGGCACAAATAACCAATACGACCAAATTTGAATACTGGTGGGGTTGGGGGGATTGATTTTGTCATTTGGGAGTTGTAGTTGCTGAAATTTATAGTTAACCTACAATCAAAGAGCATTCTGAACTCCACCCATGATGGAATTGAACCAAACTTCCAACACAGAATTCCCATGACCAACAGAAAATACTGGAAGGGTTTGATGGGCACTGACCTTCGGTTTGGGAGTTGTAGTTCACCTACATCCAGAGAACACTGTGGACTCAAACAATGATGGATCTGGAACAAACTTGGGACAGATACCTAATGCTCAAATGTAAACATTGGTGGATTTTGGGAAAAATATGCTTTGACACTAGATTTATAGTTCACCTATAATCAAAGAGCAGGCATGTAGCCGGGGGGGGGGGGGGGGCTCGGGGGGCTTCAGCCCCCCCCCGAAATTTTCATGGTGGTTTGCGAAAAGGCCTTATTGGTGCATTATTTAAACTGTTATGTTTATTCATATCATGATCTGATCACCATACTCAATATATCCCATATGCATGGGGGTATTGGGGTAATGATACAAAAGGTTTGCTAGGCTAGACCCTCTTTCACTCAGTCAGCCCCCCCCCCCGAAACTCAGCCCCCCCCCGAACCCCCCCCTGAAAAAAATTCAGCCCCCCCCCCCCCGAAACGAAATCCTGGCTACGGGCCTGTCAAAGAGCATTCTGAACCCCACCAATGATAGAATTGGGCCAAACTTCCCACACAGAACTCCCATGACCAACAGAAAATGCTGTTTTCTGATGGTCTTTGGTGACCCCTCCAGGGGTCCTGTCCACCCAGTTTGATAAATGCTGACTTAGAGCATTTCATCTTCTCTTTCTATGAGGGTTGAATGAAAAGTAATGCCTCCACCTTCGTAACTCCTCAACACATGGCAGTACTGATATGCGACAGGTACTGGCTTGATCAGTATACTCTCCTTTACAGTTCCATTTTGGCAGGAAGCCTTAGAATTGAATGGTTGTGTTGTTAAAGTGCGACGTATGGAACCCTGCGCAGACAGTCGGTCAATGCGACCTAAGCAATTTGCAGTCATTGAATTCTTGACAGCAGAAGGTGTCACCCCAAAGGAGATTCATCAGAGAATGCAAGCAGTTTATGGTGATTGTGTTGATGTGAGTACTTTGTGTCTTTGGGTGAGTAAGTTTAAAGATGTTGAGGTGGGAACATCTGACTTGTGTGACAAACAAAGAGTTGGACATCCTGTGACAGCAACCACCGAGTTTCACAAGCAAAAGGTTGACAGATTGATTCAGGACGATTGTCATATCTCTTAGAGAGAAATTTCAAGCATAATCGGCATTTCACAAGAACGTGAGGGTCACATTATTGCTTTGCTTGGCTATCGGAAGATCTGTGCACGATGGGTACCCAGGATGAGAGAACTGTGAGACGCTGGCTGCGGAAACAGAGTGTCGACTTCTTCTGTGACGGCTTCAGAAAATTTATTCATCGTTGGCAGAAATGTATCCAATTGTCTGATGATTATGTGGAAAAGTGAATAGTGGTAATTAAGGAGCACATTCTAAGGATTATTTCTGCATTTGATTTATTCCCATCCAAATCCAAATAACAAAGATGGTGGCATTACTTTTCATTCAACCCTCGTAAAAATGCATCTAGAAGATAGATGTACGTACATGTTCCCACTTGTGTTCTAACTCTAGTATGTATCCTATTTTCCCCCTATGCATTTATTTCCTCTTTGGGGCCAATTTGTAAGGGATTCCTTTGTGGATAGATAGGAACATTGACCCCGAGTGTAGCGTGGTGACTAGGGTATGGCAATGAAAGGTTCGGAAATAAGAACCCAGAAAGTTGACAGCGTTGCAGGTGGCAAATGTGAGACTGCAAAAAAGAAACAAAAGAATCTGGCATGGAGGAGTTTGCAGGACTTCATGAAGACTGTTGCTTAGTGAACTGGATAAGCTCTGAGTGACAGAACCAGATTGCCATCGTGTGTTCACATGTTGTCAATACAGCCGTGTGTCTGGTACAGTTATTTCCATTGGAGACCTATTGTCTCTATCCTTTAGAATCCTTGAGTTTGCAACTGAGGGAAGGATCTTAGGAAGCCCTTGTGCTCCATCAGACTACAAATCTCAGAATTCTATAGACTGCTGCTGTGTTAGTTAGTGTCATAGCACTATAACTTACTTAACTTAGGTGATCCCTCATTGTCCGAGTCTTCCGGGATCAGTGTCCTGGCAATGGGTCCGTAGGTGACTGTGGAGCCCTATTCTTGATCTGCATCTTCCCCTGCAGTGAGGGCATTAGTTTCCAGGTGGAAGGTGGTCCTGGTCGGGGTTGGCTTGATGAGCCTTCCTCTTGGCACATTTCTCTCTTTCACCCTCTATTCATGCCTCTTCAAATTCTACAGCACTGCTGGTCACAGCTGACCTCCAGCTGGAGTGCTCAAGGGCCAAGGCTTCCGAGTTCTCAGTGTCTATGCCAGAGTTTTTAAGGTTGGCTTTGAGCCCATCTTTAAATCTCTTTTCATCCCACCAACATACTGTTTTCTGTTCTTGAGATCGGAGTAGAGCAACTGCTTTGGGAGATGGTGGTCGGGCATCCAGACAACGTGACCGGTCCAGCAGGGTTGATGGCAGAGGACAATCGCTTCAATGCTAGTGGTCTTTGCTTCTTTCAGCAAAGACCACATTTGTCCACTTGTCTTCCCAAGAGATTTGCAGGATTTTCCGGAGGCAGCGCTGATAGAATCATTCCAGGAGTTGCATGTGACGTCTGTAGACAGTCCATGTCTCATAGGCATACAGCAGGGTTGGGAGAATAATAGCTTTATAAACAAGCCCCTTGGTATCCTTATGGATGTCTCGGTCCTCAAACACTCTCTGCTTCATACGGAAAAAAGCTGCACTCACAGAGCTCAGTCAGTGTTGTATTTCATTGTCAGTGTTGACTTTTGTGGAGAGGCGGCTGCCAAGGTAGTGCTATAAACATATAACACCATAAACATATGATGTGAAAGGGTTCCTGGTCATTGCGGTCTTCTCCAAAGAACTGTAGGTATGAAACTACCCAACATAGACTTACACATTCATAACAGTTTCATATTCAATAGTGTAGGGAATATATATGGAGCCAGTATGATGAAGTGGATCCCCTGGTGATGCAGTGGGCTAAACCACTGAGCTGCTGAACTTGCTGATCAAAAGGTTGCAGGTTCGAATCCCCCTGTCAACCCCAGCTTCTGCCAACCCAGTAGTTTGAAAACATGCAAATGTGAGTAGATTAATAGGTACCTTTCCAGCGGAAAAGGTGGTGCTCCATGCAGTCATGCTGGCCACATGACTTTAGATGAGTCTATGGGCAACGCTGGCTCTTTGGCTTAGAAATGGAGATGAGCACCAACCCCCAGAGTCGGACACAACTGGACTTAACATCAGGGGAAAGCTTTACCTTTACCTATGATGTAGTGGTTTGAGGTTTGGACTACAACTCTCAAGACCTGAGTTCAAATCTCTGCTCAACCATGGAAAGCTTCAAATCTCTGCTCAACCATGGAAAGCTTCTGCCAATCTTGGGCAAGCTGTAACTTCTCAGCCTCAGTGGAAGGCAATGGCAAACCTATTCCATGCAAATCCTCTGAAGTTAGATGCCAGAAGCCCTGGATTTATTGACTGTACACGACATGGGAAACTTTCCTGAGCGTCCTGCCATTAAAGAGTCCTTTTTTGGATCAGAGGGGAGCAGAAAGGTGAGCAAATGTTGGGAGTCCATGCTCGCAAAGCATCAACAGAGGCGCCAAGAGGTCAGCTGCAAGTCAATTCAGATTAGCCTGCAGAAGACAACCAGAGCAATAAATAGAGTTAATCTCCCAGCTTGAGTTCCTAAATACGGAAAATCAAAAGCAATTTGGCTTAAATGCACATCGAAGAAAATGAAGCAAATTAATGCAAAATATTTAAATCCGCACTTTTCCTTTATTGGATTTACTTTCATTATCAAGTTGGGGAGGGGACCTTTGGAAGTGGTGAATGGGATGTAATAAAAAGAAAATCCAAAAATTGGGATGATTTGAACATTCGTCTTCTTGACCCCAGCTCTCTTCCTTTTGTTCTACGCAAGTGGTGATCCTGTGTACCCAAGTCCTACGAGGTATCTAGTCTTAGAATTTTAATCTATTGTATGCTACCCATGTATAGTTATGTAACATAGATAATTCTAGAGCACTGTTCCTTCGAGTGTGGGTCCTGACTCCAAATGCAGTAGCTGTAACTGAAAATGAGGGTCCTAGAAAATTTGGTAACAGTAAAAGGTTTGTGGATGCCACCTAGTGGATGTTTTTGATATTTACATGAATCTGCGAACAACAACATTCAGTGTTTACAATGGACACTGTATCCGCGAGACAGGGTGAGCTCCCATCTGTCAGCCCCAACTTCCCATGCAGAGATAAGCCTCCCACAGAATGGTAACACATCCGAGTGTCCCCTGGGCAATGTCTCTGCAGGCAGCCAATTCTCTCACACCAGAAGCGACTTGCAGTATATTCTCAAGTTGCTTCTGACACGATAAAATGCCTCTAGACCATGGCCATATAGCCCGAAAGCCTTCAACAATACAAAAAAAAAAAGGATGTTGTAGAAAATGCTTCAGATGCATTCCAAGAAAAGGAAAACCACCCTGTATAGCAAGCCTTCCAAATGCTGATTTATTAGCTGTAAATGTTTGATTTTATACCTATTTTATATACTTACATACTTGAGGTTGCACAAAAAATGAAGCAGAAAAGTGTTGGAAATGTTTACGAAACCCTATTCTAGCCTATATGTATATATGTGTTGTATACACACATATATGAATGTACATACAGGCTAGGACCATCATATGAAGCTCCTGTGACTAGTAAAACACTGTTAAAAATGAAGGAAAAACAAATATTAGTGAGTTGGAACGATGTATTAACCTTTGTCCATTTCAGTTTCAGCCATGTTCGATATTTTCAGTTGTTTTAAGATGAAAAATATATCAGAAAAAATATTGTTGTCTCAATAAATCTGACACGGATTCAAAGATGCAAAGTATGTGCCAACATGCATGCAAAACCCAAAAGATTTAAACAATGGAGAAGGAAAGTTTTGCATTTAAAGTTCTGACATTTTGATCCTCTCAACATGGGATTTGTCATCTTAGCATGCTAAATATAGTCGCTACTTTGACAGTCCTGGCGATATAAAATATGAGACAAAGAAAATGTATTACATTTATGATTAGTGGTGATTTAGTGAACGGTGAGATTAAGGAGAATCAAAGAATAGGAATCAAAGAAGAGCAAAGAAAATTCAGCCAGGGTTCAAATGCAGGTATGAACTGAAAATCATTGAGGACTTATCATAATGTCATTATGTTGATTTGTCTTGATTTATCTATGAGGATATTCAGTATGAGGATACTCGCAGGAACATCTCAGCAAGCGGGAGTCCAAAAGTGGCAGGGTAAAATCCAGAACCTCAATCAGTGGCTGATTCCAGATGAAAAACTCCCTCCTGGGCACACAGAAGACTGGGTGACTTGGAAGGCACTAAACAGGCTGCTCTCTGGGACTATGAGATGCAGAGCTAACCTTAAGAAATGGGGCTACAAAGCAAAATCTATGACATGTGAGTGTGGAGAAGAGCAAACCACAGACCACTCACTACAATGCAGTCTGAGCCCTACCACATGCACAATGGAGGACCTTCTTACAGCCACACCAAAGGCACTTGAAGTAGCCAGCTTCTGGTCAAAGGCAATTTAGTACACTGCCAAGCTTTTAACTTTGTTTGTGCTTTTTGTATGCATTGTAACTGTATTCTCAATTCACTTCGGAGATGATAAATAAATCAGTCTACGAGGACGGTAAGATTTGCCTTGTGTAGCTTTGTTTTCCATTGTTGTGATCCAGTATTTCACCCTATGTCTTCATTTAGAATCCTGTTGCTGACTTACGTTATTTATAATCAGATGCTACAGCTTTTTTCATATTGTGGAAGGAGGTGAAGCATTTTTCCAAATGAAGCAGAGAGTGTTTGAGGACCGGGACATCCGTAGGGATACCAAGGTGCTTGTTTATAGCTATTGTCCTCCCAACTCTGCAAAACATGGGCTGTCTACAGACGTGACATGCAAATCCTAGAACGATTCCATCAGCGTTGCCTCCGAAAAATCCTGCAAATCTCTTGGGAAGACAAGCAGACAAATGTCAGCGTGTTGGAAGAAGCAAAGGCCACCAGCATTGAAGCCATGGTCCTCCGCCATCAACTCTGCTGGACTGGCCACGTTGTCCGAATGCCCGATCACCATCGCCCAAAGCAGTTGCTCTATTCCGAACTCAAGAATGGAAAACGGAAAACTGGTGGGCAGGAAAAGAGATTGAAAGATGGGTTCAAAGCCAGCCTTAAAAACTCTGGCATAGACACTGAGAACTGGAAGCCCTGGCTCTTGAGCGCTCCAGCTGGAGGTCAGCTGTGACCAGCAGTGCTGTAGAATTTGAAAATGTACGAATGGAGAGCGAAAGAGAGAAATGTGCCAAGAGGAAGATGCATCAAGTCAACTCGGACCGGGACCACCTTCCACCTGGAAACCGATGCCCTCACTGCGGGAGACGATGCAAATCAAGAATAGGGCTCCACAGTCACCTACATACCCACTGCCAGGACACTAAACTTGGAAGACAATCCTGCTTGGAGAATGAGGGATCACCTAAGTAAGTAAGTAAGTAAGTAAGGAGGTATCCTGTGCCTTCTTTTACAATGGGTTTCTCCCAGCTATGCAATGGTTACCAAAATGGTGCCAGGGCACAGCTCTGCTTCTGACCCAAATGATGGATGGAGAGGGGGGCACACTGGGATGTCTTTCTTGCATTGTCACTTCTCCTACAGCTGTCACCATCCTAAGGCCTCCTGTGTCTTAATATGCTGGTTGAACTTTTGACTCCGCCGGTGTCAAACAGGATCATGGCTGTTGAGTCAGGTCTCACCCATCTCCAAATAACCCCATTTCCTAACAAAGGGGCTCAAAACACATCCTGTAGGCTATCGAAGCTTCACTCCAGTTGCAGTTCTTGCATGTATATGTTGGTATATACGCAAAAGCATAAACGGGGGAGTATTGGTTGTGTAGTTGCTTCTGCTCTCATTCTTTGTTGCCCAGTTATAAACCAGACGCAACAAGGGAAGGAAGCTAATTTTAGAGCCCTTCGCGTCTACGTGCACATTCCCGACGCAAAGGAAGGCAAACGAGGTCTCTTGCTGGGAGGCGGCCGCCTCGTCTGGGCCTGTCAGAGCTCTGCAAGGTCGTCACTGGAGAGGGCATTGACGGTGATGTGACCTGGCATCTCGTCTGCTTCGCGCTCGCCTCGGCCCTGGAGTCGGAGCTTCTGAAGTCCTGTGGGGTCACCGGGTGAGGCTGCCATCAGCACTTGTCCCAGGAAGCGGTGGGACGAGAGGCGGCTGTGCCAGACCTACGGATGGAGGAAGAGGAGTGAAATAATTGCAGCTACACGCCTTGCCCTTTCGTTGCCCTATTGGAAAGGGCAGAAGGTCACAATTCCACCTCCTCAACTAGACCTCCATTCTGTGGTTGGCTTTGTATGTGTATCAATTAACGCAGAGACCTGGGAGATCCTTAACACATCTACCAGCATGAGTTTGGAAAATAATCTGACCTTCATTGTTTGGTTGGGTTTGTATAGTTTTCAATTAGCACCCAGAATTGGGAGATCCTTAGCACATCTAGCAGCATGAGTTAAGAAAATCATCTGACTTCCATTCTGTGGTTGGCTTTGCACATGTTTTAATTATCACACAGTATTGGGAGATCCATAACACATCTCGCAACATGAGTTTGTTTGTGTGAATGGTGAAAATAATCCAAATTAAGGCCTCTGTAACCAGCATGGTATATTAGGTTGAGTGTTCAACTATTTATTTATTCATTCATTTATTTGCAACATTTATATGCTGCCCTTCTCACCCCGAAGGGGACTCATAGCGGCTTACAAGTCATATGTACATAAAACATACTATATTGTTAGCATAGTACTTTTTTTTTGTCGTGTCAGGAGAGACTTGAGAATCTGCAAGTCACTTCTGGTGTGAGAGAATTGGCCGTCTGCAAGGACATTGCCCAGGGGATGCCCGAATGATTTGATGTTTTATCATTCTTGTGGGAGGCTTCTCTCATGTCCCCACATGAGGAGCTGGAGCTGGTAGAGGGAGCTCATCCGCCTCTCCCCGGATTTGAACCTGCGACCTGTCAGTCTTCAGTCCTGCCGGCACAGGGGTTTAACCCACTGCGCCATCGGGGGCTCCGTAGTACTAATACATCATTTATAATGTTAGTATAATATAATATTATATTGTTGCTGGGGAGGGGCTCTGATGTCACAGGAGACAAGATGGAACTGTCTTCTCGGCTCCCTCCTTTACTCTGGCTCCATGGGTGCATTTTTATTGTGGAACAGTGTTTAACAACCTTCCTATTACCACAACCCCTTAATACAGTTCCTCATGTTGTGGTAACCTACAACCATAACATTATTTTTGTTGCTACTTCATAACTCTAATTTTGCTACTGTTATGAATCGTAATGTAAATATCTGAAATGCAGGATGTATTTTCATTCACTGGACCAAAATTGGCACAAATGCCAGATACACCCAATTTGGATACTGGTGGAGTTGAGGGTGATTTTGTCATTTGGGAGTTGTAGTTGCTGGGATTTATAGTTCACCTACAATCAAAGAGAATTCTGAACTCCACCAATGATGGAATTGAAGCAAACGTGGCGCACAGAACTCTCACAAACAACAGAAAATATTGGAAGGGTTTGGTGGGCATTGACCTTGAGTTTTGGAGTTGTAGTTCACCTACATCCAGACAACACTGTGGACTCAAATAATGATAGATCTGAACTAAACTAGATGCGACTACTCAATATGCCCAAATGTGAACACTGATGGTGTTTGGACCAAACTTCCCACACAGAACCACCATTCCTTGAAGGGAAAAGCTGGCACGAGCCTCCCTCCAGCCTCACACGCTCTCCCTCATCTGCACATGTGGTTCATGCTGCCATGTGCCAAGCATGCCTGCTCTCCCCTTCCCACTTGAAGTCTCAGAAATTTCCCTTTGCTGAGAGGTCAGCCAATCATAGCGGAGGTGGGCTTTTGGTGTGAGGATTTGCTGTCTGTTTCCAAAAAGGAAGAAAAGAACAGGCTGAGAGATATTCAAGCCTTTTCTGCCAAAGGGTTTCCTAAGACCATCAGAAATATATGTTTTCTGACGGTCTTTGGCGACCCCTCTGAAACCCACTTGTGAACCCCCCAGGGGTCCTGACCCCCAGGTTGAGAAACACTGTTGTAGAACTAAAGCAGTTTGACACCACTTTAACTGCCCTGGTTCAGTACGTTGGAACCTTGTAAATTGTGGCTTTTTAAGGTATCTGCACACTTTTGCAAAGTTTTGCAAAGGCTAAAGACTCTGCCAAACTGCAACTTCCAGGATTTTATCGCGATGAGCCATGGCAGTTAAAGCAATGTCAAACTACATTTCTTATTTCTTGTTTATAGAGTGTAGATGACTCTAGAGACAAGGGTTTGAATCCCTGCTCAGCCATGGAAATCCATTCAGTCACCTTAGGCCACACTCTCTCAGCCTTAAAGAAAGGCAAAGGAAAAACCCTTTCTGAGCCAACCTTGCCAAGAAAACCCCATGAGAGAATCACTTTCGAGTTGCTATAAGTCATAAAGATGTCAAGGCATCCAACAACAATTGGAAGAGCCAAAATAATTTCAATAAGGATTTGCTATTACCTGCCTTTCCACATTTCTATGTCCAGGGATACATCCTTGCAGATATAGGAATCATATTGTACCAAATATATGGGAAAGTAGCACTTACCTGGATAATAATGGGTTTGTGAATGTTCCTTCGGTAGAAAATGGCTTGTGTGTTGAAAACAGCATTGACGGTGCCATGTTGGATGGGAGACTGGACCTTCTTGTTCTCACACTTGATGATAACATAGGGATTTACTCCTAAAAAAGACAACAGTGACAGCTGAGGGCTTCCATGACAGTGAAGTGGCTCATCCGCTCTGGGTTTTAGTCTAAACTTTACAGGAACTATTGGGAGAATCACTATTTCAGCACTTTGGAGAGTTCTTTTATAACTCAGATTGCAGTCCAGAGGGAAATTGTCACCTAACTAACATGGAACAACAAATGCAACCCAACAATAGTATTATTGTATTTGTTTTTGGTGGGTCACAGGAAGCTATAGAAGCCAACTTTTGGGTTGCTGTGAGTTTTCTGGGCTGTATGGCCATGTTCTAGAAGCATTCTCTTTTGACATTTTCACCCACATCTATGGCATCCCCAGAGGTTGTAAGATCTGTTGGAAACTTCAGTTCCCAAAATTCCATTACACTGAAGCCAAGCAGTTGAAGTGGTATCAAGCTGCATTGATTATACAGCGCAGATGCATCTTCTGTTTTCTAAGGTCACAGCTCCTAGCCCAACCACCTTACCCACAGACTTAATATCCACTTAATATACCTCACTTGCCTAGTTTCCAACAGACCTCACAACCTCTGAGGATGCCTGCCATAGATATGGGTGAAATGTCAGGAGGAAATGCTTCTGGAACTTGAAAGGGCAAATGAAGAAGTGGAAATAAAGTGTGTGGAGAATGTGGTTGGGTGTAATGAATCCCTTACCTTGGCAAGTTAGCTAAGGCCTAAGAGAGTGGGCCTGGTGAAGCCATGGCATCAATTTTGGAGAAGGGAGATGCCATCTTAGGTTAGGTTTGCCTTAAGGGGGCATGTTCTAGTCTTGGAGGGAAAACCAGAATGCTTGTATTGGTTAGGAAGATGGGGGCGGAGCCTAAGTGATCTGAAGGAAAAAAAGTGACTTTTAAACTAAGGTTTGAGTTCCCAGCTTGCCAGAGTTGGGGAGTTGGAGCTTGGAAAGGGTAGAGCAAAGACGCTGGGTGTTAGTGAGAGCAGTTTGGGGTTTTGAAGAAGAATTTTGGGTCAGTCTTTTGTTTAATATTCAGGGTATCTATAGAGAAGTATAGCTAGAATACTGTGTGGAGCAGAACCCCGTTAGTGGTCTGTTCTTTTCCTAAGGAAGGCTAGTTCAGGATTTGGCTAGGTTCCTAAGGGGGATTTTTGTGGGAGTTACTTTCAGATATTCATTTCCTGAAGTAATTTTCTATGTTGAAACTATAAGACTTGTAACCCAGAAGTTTTTAAGATCTCTTTTCAATCATAACCACAAGCTTTGTATGCCAGAACTTTACTGAAACCAATAAGCATTTGTACCTGAATTATTCAAGCCTGTTCAATAAACGTTCTTGTTATTTTTATCAACTTATACAAGCCTCAGTGTGAATACCTTTGTGGTAAAAAGTGTTATTCAAGTCAGCTGTTTACCAGCCTCTAAGAAAACTAGAGTAACACAGAGTGTGTTATTGAACAACCTCTCAATAGTACCTCAGCCTGTTCATTAGTAATATGGTGGTAGTGGAAATCCTTTAAAGAATCTTTTGAAGAATCATTTTAAGTCTCTCAGTTCCAGTGGTTCCCAGTACCTCACTTTTAAATATACAGTTAGTTTATTAACAACCATACTACCTCTATATTTTAGTAAGGTAGTCTGTAGTGATGGTGTCATCGTTATAATATAGTAGGCTGCTGTGTGGTCTTTATAATTTGGCTAAGCAGAGTTGGGATTTTTATTATCGAATAAACTTTTCCCTACGTTTGTTATATCGGGCTTATAGAAAACAGAAGATGCATCTGTGAGGTAATCAATGCAGTTTGATCCTACTACAGCTGCTTGGGCTCAATGTAATGGAATTGTTGGAAATGAAGTTTTAGGGGGCAGTGTCAGTCTTTAACAGATAAGGCTAAAGATCTTGTAAAGCTACAACTCTAAAGGATTTCATAGCATTTAGCCGGGGCAGTTCAAGTGGTGCCAAACTGCATTGATTTTACAATGTGCATGTACCCAAACACGGTTTGTAGCAACCAGCAGAGGGCACTGCTTGACTTTCCAGTAAATTTCTATCTTTTGTGTACATAGGTAGTTTGCAAGCAAATTGAGACCATCACCAAAAATGAATATATGGTAAGCTTTGGATCTGATCCTTAGCTGCCCTCCAAACTTTTTCCAGCTCTGTGTCATTTCTTGAGACGACATGAGGCTTTGCTCTGCATCTTGACATCCTTTCTGCCCCCCTTTTTGGATATGTCAGTATTTTTTAAGATTAAGGGAACTTGAATTTTAATATCCAGCGACTTATAATTATTAGCAGATGCAAGAGAGAATTGCAAAAGCTATTAAGACTCTCTTTTGCACTTACCACCCTGACTGTCCTGGCTTGGAAGGCCCTCCACCGCATGGATTTTGACCTGAGACACCCTCCGAGGGACGCCGTAGAAGATGTCCAGACAGGCTAGCCTTGGCTTATGCAGCTTAAGTTCTCTGAAATATCATAACGAAGCAAGATTAAACGCAAGGAGGTAACTACTAGATAAGGAATAGATTTTGAAAAGAAGATTACACTCTGTCTTCGGAGGAATTGCAAGTGTTCCGGTGGTATATTGAACATTTTCCCAAAAGGATGACATGCAATGTCCAAGGATAGATATGGGGATAATCAGAGAAGGAATTGCCATGGCAGTTGCCCCAATTGTCATGGCAGATGACTATTGCAGTGGGACATAGGGCCAAGTGTGAATTTCAGTTAACTGTTTTGTATTCACCTGTTTTAGGTAGTACCTGAGTTTTGATGGCACGTCTGTGAACAGCCTCAGAATAAACTCTGTTTCAATGTTTGGGCTGAAAGTCGTTGGGATCAAGACGTATCGGCCTTGCTTGAGAACGACCTTCAGAAACACCATGCGGTTGTCAATGTATGTAGAGGTAGCCACCTTCTCTTGTATTTTCAGAGTGTGCATTCGGTACTCTCGGTTGTCCTCCACCTAGGGATAGAAAGGGGACATTTGCATATTTATTTATTACTAATCATCCCCTGCCATGTGTTGCTGTGGCCCAGTCTAGTGATTCCCATGTTATCCTCTATTGCAGTGTTCCTCAACCTGGGAGTCGGGACCCCTGGGGGGGGGGGGTTATGAGGGAGTGTCAGAAGGGTTACCAAAGACAACAGTATTTTCTGTTGGTCATGGGAGTTCTGTGTGGGAAGTTTGGCCCAATTGTATCATTGCTGGGGTTCAAAATGCTCTTTGATTGCTGGTGAACTATAAATCCCAGTAACTACAACTCCCAAATGTCAAGGTCTATTTCCTCCCAACTCCATCTGTGTTCATATTTGGGCATATGGAGTATTCGTACCAAGTTTGGTCTAGGTCTTTCATTGTTTGAGCCCACAGTGCTCTCTGGATTTAGGTGAACTATAACTCCAAAACTCAAGGTCAATGCCCACCAAACCCTTACAGTTTTTTCTGTTGGTCATTGAAGTTCTGAGTAGTAAGTTTGGTTCAATTCCATTGTCGGTGGAGTTCAGAATTCTCTTTGATTGTAAGTGAACTATAAATCCCAGCAACTACAACTCCCAAATGACAAAATCTGTCCCCCTCAACCCCACTAGTATTCAAACTCGGGTGTATCGGGTATTTGTGCCAAATTTGGTCCAGTCAATGAAAATGCACCAGATATTTACATTACAATTGATAACAGTAGCAAAATTACAGTTATGAAGTCACAACAGAAATGATTTTGTTTGGGGGGTCACCACAACATAAGGAACTGTATTAAGGGGTCGTTGCATTAGGAAGGTTGAGAAACACTGCGATAGGGCATCACTGTGATTGTTAAGCAAATGGAAGCCCAGTTTCCTTGCCAATTTATTGCAAATGACCCAGAGATCTAGGAGTGGATACAGAGCCACCTTCTGTCCCTCCTTGAGGTAGAACACATGATGCGTCAACTAGTTTAGCATAAATACAATTACAGCTAAATCTGGATGCTCCGGGCTGGAGTAAATGAGATCAGGCATGCAATGAGGACACCTGCCTTGAAGATCTCAAAGCCAATAACGACATTATCCCCCATCCCTTCTTTTTTGTGGATGCGCTGGTCCTTCTGCTGCAAGGAGATCATCACTTTGTCCTCAACCTTCGTCACATCAAAGACATACTAAAAGAAAAGAGAGGATATCTCAGTCAGGAACTACATACAGTTTCTTTAGCTGAGTCTAAAAATTGATGCTCTAAAGTCCATAACTATTAGAACAATATTGTGGAGGCTGGGTGGGGAATCTGCTCTGATTTTCAGTCTATTCAATGGGCCAAATTCCATCCCTAAAATAGTTTTGGCAGCTTGGCAACCCCTTTCTGAGCAAGGTGAGCATGTGGTGGCTTCCCAATTCCAGGGATTTCCAGATGAAACAGATTATTTAGATCAGTGGTTCTCAATCTGGGGTCCCCAGATGTTTTTGGCCTACAACTCCCAGAAATCCCAGCCAGTTTACCAGCTGTTAGGATTTCTGGGAGTTGAAGGCCAAAAACATCTGGGGACCCCAGGTTGAGAACCACTGCTCTAGATCCATTTCAGTCTGGTTTCAGGCCTGGCTATGGAACAGAGACAGCTTTGGCCACCTTGGTGGATGACCTACGAAGAGAGTTAGGTAGGGGGAGGTTGTCTCTGTTGGCTCAGAATCCTTGCACAATTGTTGGGTCAGAATCCTTGCACAAGATCTGCTATAGCATAAAATGTGTGATCTGGGATTACTGTATGCCTTGACTGTGACATATATATTGTCTGTATTGGGAGTGAACATGTTAGAAAGTATACACAGAGTAAGGTAAAGGTAAAGGTTTTCCCCTGACATGAAGTCCAGTCGTGTCCGACTCTGGGGTGTGGCGCTCATCTTCATTTCTAAGCCAAAGAGCCAGTGTTGTCCATAGACACCTCCAAGGTCATGTGGCCGGCATGACTGCATGGAGCACCGTTACCTTCCTGCCAGAGTGATACTTATTGATCTACTCACATTAGCATGTTTTCGAACTGCTAGGTTGGCAGAAGCTGGGGCTGACAGCGGAAGCTCACGCCAAACCCTGGGTACAAACCTGCGACCTTTCAGTTAACAAGATTAGCAGCTCAGTGCTTTAACCCACTGCGCCACCGGGGGCTCCATAGACATAGTATAGATGGATATTTAACATTTTGGCATTTAAAATGCCAATTTTCCATTACATGTCCATGTTCTTTATATCAATCTATAGACATAGTATAGATGGATATTTTAAAAAATAAATTGCATAAGAACATGGACATGTAATGGAAAATTGGCATTTTCCACCTGAAATGCCCAGAAGAGTATAGCAAGTGGCAAGCAAGTCATGGGAGATGGGGAAGTGAACTATGAGAAGTGTGTCTAAGGGTGTAATCCCATTCTGGAAAACACAAGCTGAAAACACAAGCAGAAGAAATTTTGGCTCAGCTTCAACCAGTGGTGTGCAATTCTGGTTTTCTTAGCATTGCATGAGTGCAGAAAACTCAAGTGCAGATTTGCTCCAACCTGTGGGTTTTGCAAAAAGGTGCCTTTGTTATTTGAACACCCCCCAGAGCGGTTCAGCCAGGGGTCTACGCTCTTTGTCCATTTTCCCCGCATCGTTTTCTTTTCCCAGGTCTTGTGGATGCTACACAAGGACGTATTCACAATGCGGCAGATGTCAACGTCGGTGAAATTTTTGCACCAGTCTTCAAAAGTCATCCTGTTGTACAGAACAGAAGGAAGACACATTTATATTATTCATGGGCTAGACATAAAAACTAGCATTCCTTTTTAAAAATTGGGACCATCTCCTGATCCAGAAGTGGCATTCCAGATGTTGTATTCCTCCAAGTCTTCCAGAGCTGAGTGCACAACTGTCAACACAACACTTTTAAATACCCTCCTCTAGAATCATAGAATCAAAGAGTTGGAAGAGACCTCATGGGCCATCCAGGCCAACCCCCTGCCAAGAAGCAGGAACATTGCATTCAAAGCACCCCCGACAGAAGGCCATCCAGCCTCTGTTTAAAAGCTTCCAAAGAAGGAGCCTCCACCACACTCCGGGGCAGAGAGTTCCACTGCTGAATGACTCTCACAGTCAGGAAGTTCTTCCTCATGTTCAGATGGAATCTCCTAGAAGTTCTGGACAAATGTAACCCAGATAATTAGGAATATCTCAAAGGTTACTATATATTTGTATGCAACATGAATAGAATCATAGAATCATAGAGTTGGAAGAGACCTCATGGGCCATCCAGTCCAACTCCATTCTGCCAAGAAGCAGGAAAATTGTATTCAAAGCACCCCTGACAGATGGCCATCCAGCCTCTGTTTAAAAGCCTCCAAAGAAGGAGCCTCAACCACACTCTGAGGCAGAGAGTTCCACTGCTGAATGGCTCCCACAGTTAAGAAGTTCTTCCTAATGTTCAGGTAGAATCTCCTTTCTTGTAGTTTGAAGCCATTTTTCCGTCTCCTAGTCTCCAGGGCAGCTTAAAACAAGCTTGCTCCCTCCTCCCTATGACTTCCTCTCACAGGTTCATACATGGCTATCATGTCTCCTCTCAGCCTTCTCTTCTTCAGGCTAAACATGCCCAGCTCTTTAAGCCGCTCCTCATATGGCTTGTTCTCCAGACCCCTGATCATTTTAGTCACCCTCCTCTGGACACATTCCAGCTTGTCAATATCTCTTTTCAATTGTGGTGTCCAGAATTGGACACAATATTCCAGGTGTGGTCTAACCAAGGCAGAATAGAGCATGGCTAGCATGACTTCCCTGGATCTAGACACTATGCTCCTATTAATGCAGGCCAAAATACCTTTGGCTTTTTTTTGCTGCTGCATCACATTGTTGGCTCATGTTTAACTTGTCATCGAGGACCCCAAGATCTTTTTCACATGTACCGTGAAAGATCAGACTTCACAACCTAATAAGATGCCTTCCATAGATGCAGGCAAAATGTCAGGAGAGAATGCTTCTGGAACATGGCTGTAAGCCCGAAAACCTACAACAACCCAGTGATTTCGGCCACGAAAACCTTCAACAATACATGGATAAGAACATTCCTTCATTGACCCATCTGGAAGAATGATCATTGCAATTCCCTGTCAGAAAATGCAAGTTAGTTTCACAAAACACGTTCCCAAATGGAAAAGCACTGCTCCGTTTTACATAACAGCTCAATGGACTGCAAACTGCAGCCCAGTTGCATGCCATAATTTCCTAGGCTGCAAAATACAATGCACCTCCCATACAGTAATTTTCTAATCTGCAAAGCACAGCTCAGTCCCATACAATAACTCCCTTGACTGCAAAGCACAGCTCAATTCTGTGAAATCCCAGCTTTGTAACTCTCTGGGCTTTAGCAAAACTCTCACTATGTTTATGGTTTGGGTATAATGGTGAGAACATATTGGGAGCTGGATAATAACACCCACTTGCCGTGATTTTGCAAGATGTTCTCTACTACTGGTTTATGGCTGGGGTTGGGAAAGATCTGGAAAAACATCTCATGTTTAGGGAAAAACAAGCAAGAAATAGCAAGGAAGGGAAGATACAGAGTACAGGGAGTAGAACATTAAGTTTGGTACAGAGCCAGAAATGGTGTGTTGAAAAGGGGAAAAAAGGAGACATAATACGCCTCATCACACTAGAGAAAAAATCCACTTAAAATCCAGTTTCTGCCTCCTGCAGAATTCTGGGGTTTGTAGTTTAGGGAGGAGCCTTTAACAGACTCACTAAAGTACAAATCCCAGAATTCTGCAGAAGGCAGAAACTGGATTTTAAGTGGATTTTTTTCTAGTGTGATGACAATCAAGGATGGAGCAGAAAAGATATTCAGATGGGAAAAGAGAGAAAGAGTCAACCAGCAAGGTTTTATATTTTTGGTCAGGAGTGACTTGAGAAACTGCAAGTCACTTCTGGGTGTTAGGAATGAGAAGCTAGAAGTCCCATCCACTATTTCTGGAGGTCTGAAGTTAATTTATTTATTTACTATATTTATACCCAGCCCTACTCAACCTGAAGGGGACTTAAGGTGGCTTATACAGGCAACTATTCAATGTCTTAAAAACAACATACTATTAAAAAATTTAAAAATGAAATTAAAAATTAATATACATTAAAAAAATTAAAACATTACACCTACTATTAAAGCCACACCATCCACTGTCGTAATCCGGGGCCGTTCCAGGAGTAGTTGCACATATTCTGTATTCATCTATTGCACTACAAGTATTCTCCGAAGGCTTGATTCCAAAGCCACAATTTCACTTTCTTTCTGAAGGCTAGGAGGGAGGGGCTGATCTAATGTCACTGGGGAGGGAGTTCCACAGATGAGGGGCCACCACTGAGAAGGCCCTGTCTCTTGTCCTCACCAACCGTACCTGTGAAGGAGGTGGGACCGAGAGCAGGGCCTCCCCAAACAATCTTAACCTTTGAGGTGGGTCATAGAGGGAAATATATTTGGACAGGTAAGCTGGGCTGGAACCATTCAGGGCTTTAGAGTATAAAGACAGCACTTTGAACTGTGCTCAGTAGCAGACTGGCAGCCAGTGGAGCTGATGTAACTGGGGGATTGTATGCTCCCTGTAAGCCGTTCCAGGCTGTATTCTGACTACTGCCTGTTGGACCACTTGAAGCTTCTTCAAAGGCAACCCCACATAGAGCATGTTGCAGTAGTCTGTTCGGGATTTGACCAGAACATGGACTGGTTTGCCCATGCCTGATCTAGATGTACAATAGTCAGAACACAAGGAACACTTCTATATAAATAAAAATGTAATGTTTGTTTGTGGGTTTAACATAACTCAAAAACCACTGGACAAATTGACGCCAAGTTCGGACACAATACACCTATCAGGCCAACGACTGACCATCATTCATAAAAACACTGAAAAGCACAGCAGAAGAGACTTAAAAAGCCAAAAAACCAAAAATTACATTACAACACATGCGCAAAACCACACATATATACACACACAAAACACATATACACAGATTGGGCCACAGCAACACGTGGCAGGGGACGACTAGTGACTAAATAATTTTTTTTAAAAGGTACTCACCAGAATTCTCCATCATTTTCAACAGTGAGTCCCAGTTTCTTGCGCTCTGCTTGGCTCACGTTTCTCCACTCATCAGATCTAGGGGTGGTTTTGATGGAAAGTGGGAGAAAAAAGTATGGGATATGTTAGATCAGTGGTTCTCAGCCTGAGGGTCTCCAGGTGTTTTGGTCTATAACTCCCAGTTTACCAGCTGTTAAGATTTCTTGGAGTTGAAGGCCAAAACATCTGGGGATCCACAAGTAAGAGAACTTCTGTGTTAAATGGAAATATTCCATTCTTTCTGACAAACCAACCCAACTGCCCTATACTTAGGAATATCATTGGTCTGTCTAATGTAGTGTTACTCAAACTGTACTCCTCCAGGTGTTTTGGACTTCAGCTCCCAGAAATCTCATCCAGTTTACCAGCTGTTAGGAATTGTGGGAGCTGATGTCCAAAACATATGGAGGAGTAGTTTGAGAAACTCTGGTCAAGTGGATCATTTCAATTGCTGACTATATGTTGATTCAAAAGATCGATTTTAGGTCTTCATATCCCTCATTGGTCCTAAAAGGTTGGATATGAAGATCTACAATGGATTTAAAATCCCCAGCCGCCAATTCTGCAGGGCCATATTCCATGGCACCAAAGTCTAAGCTTTCCCAAACCACTGTCATGAGAATGAAGACAATTGGAAGAGGTGGAAAATGTAACTGAAAAGCTATACTATTATTGTTGTTTGGTTTTCTTGTTGTTGTCATTTGAGACAATCCAAATTGTATCTGTGTGGACAGCTATGGCTATTTTGCCTTGAATAAGCAGTGTGTTCTGTACAAAAAGGGGGTGTTGTGTTTCCTTTTGTGCTGCAGGCTATTTTAGCACTTGTAGAGAACTGGGGAAAATCCTCGCAGAATGAGAAATGCCTTTCCATTTCACCGAAGATTGAGCTTGTTGTAAGTCCTGTGCTATATATGTAGGGCTTTTAGCGCTTTGGAAGGTGTGATTTCAAAGCAACAACTAAACATGATTTTGATCTCTGGCTGAAAGAGATCTATAAGAAAAAGGGAATTGCCCTGCGTTTATTTGGAAGAAAATACAAGCGTGTGACTAGGAGAGCTAAAGGACTGAGACAAATGGTCTTCTAGTTCTTGGAGAAATCTGAATTAAAGCCAGATAATATGTTGGAGCCCCTGATGGCACAGTGGGTTAAACCACTGTGTTGGCAGGACTGAAGACCGACAGGTCGCAGGTTCAAATCCGGGGAGAGCGTGGATGAGCTCCCTCTTATCAGCTCCAGCTCCTCATGCAGGGACATGAGAGAAGCCTCCCAGAAGGATGGTAACACATCAAAACATCCAGGTGTCCCCTGGGCAATGTCTTTGCAGATGGCCAATTCTCTCACACCAGAAGCAACTTGCAGTTTCTCAAGTTGCTCCTGACACAGCCAAAAAAAAAAGATGTCAATTCAGGAAGAAGCTTTACTTGTAATCCTTTTGGTACTAAAGTTGGAGAGTGGTCCCTGGTTCAAGTGATCCCAGCTCAAAGTGATCCCTGGTCAAATTGGTCCCTGATCAAAGTGGTCCCTGGTTAAAGTGGTCCCTGGTCAAAGTGGTCCCTGGTCAAAGTGGTCCCTGGTCAAAGTGGTCCCTGGTCAAAGTGGTCCATGGTCAAGTGGTCCCTAGTCAAGTGGTCCCTGGTCAAGTGGTCCCTGGTCAAAGTAGTCCCTGGTCAAAGTGGTCCCTGGTCAAGTGGTCCCTGGTCAAGTGGTCCCTGGTCAAAGTGGTACCTGGTCAAAGTGGTCCATGGTCAAGTGGTCCCTAGTCAAGTGGTCCCTGGTCAAAGTGGTCCCTGGTCAAAGTGGTCCCTGGTCAAGTGGTCCCTGGTCAAAGTGGTCCCTGGTCAAGTGATCCCAGATCAAAGTGATCCCTGGTCAAGTGGCCCCTGGTCGAAGTGGTCCCTGGTCAAAGTGGTCCCTGGTCAAAACAAGTTTGGGAACCACTGATTTAGAGCTACATTGGTATTGGCATGTCTGTCCTCCACCTTCTCTTCTCCTGGTTAAAAAGGCACAGTTCTTTTAGCCATTGCGCATTGGAATGAGTCTCAAACCTTTGACCATACTGTTCTAGGTCCCTGCTGTTCCTCTGAAGATAGATTCATAGAGTTGGAAGAGACCTCGTGGGCCATCCAGTCCAACTCCATTCTGCCAAGGAACAGGAAAATCACATTTAAAGCACCCCCAACAGATGGCCATCCAGCCTCTGTTTCAAAGCCTCCAAAGAAGGAACCTCCCATCACTCTCTGACTACTAGTCAGGATATCACCTCTAGTAACCAAATCACATTCTTCCTGTGGATTTTCTATGGGCAATGAGTTGACTGCTTCATGAAAAGAGAAAGCAGAACTTTCACTTGATCCAAATTTTCTTCTGTTCAGATGAGACTGGAAAATCAAATCACTTCTACTGCACTGGAAATCTTAGTTCTATCATTGCCTTTGGAACGTTTCCACATTTGATAGTGAGCTTCTAACCTCTGCGGATCCGCGGTCCCTTCAAAGCACAACTAGCTAATACTTCTGGACATGGAAGTATGCCTTGCTTACGCATCACTCCAAGCGCCGTTCCACTCCTTCTGTCCCCAGGGGTTCCTCAGTCTGATCATGAAGAGCTTCTTCGACTTTGTGAATGTCGTGAGCTTCTTTCCAAGACTCATCATCAGGATAGATGTCACGGAATAGGCATGACCCATGATTAAACCCATGGCGGTCTGTCCCTCAAAATCACGGGCGGACGTGGGCTGCAGAATAAGGGAAGCGCAAGTCAATGTCAGAATCTTTAGGAAACACTTTGAAAAACCAACAAACCACAAGCTGTATTTTCCCCTCTTAACTATTACAGTACAATAGTAAATTCTACACAGTTTTGTGCATCTGTGCAAAGCTTGAGAACATATCCATGGAGAATAAGTTCTTGGGCTTTGCATGGAAGCAAAAAAACCTGTGGATAATAGTAAAATGAGTACTTCTGTCCCCCAAATATCATACAGTCATGCTGGAGGCCCTAGGAAATGCATAGAAAGGACATATTTTGTTGGACATGGATAAAGAGTTCATAGTGTAGTCTGTTTTCAAGAATATTCCCATCTCTATGCATTGATCTATCCATGAATCAGAGTTCTATACACAGCTTAATTAGTAGTGATCAATAGTTTACTCTCTCTCTCTCTGTCTGTGTGTGTGTGTATCTGTATTTTATTGGCTAAATACAGTAAAAGTATACCTTTTGAATCAATTGTTGACTGGCAAATCAACACAAAAGTAAATAATGTTGATTCATTAGACCTACTCGAATTGGGATGAATAATAGAATTTAGCCATCATATATACATGATAAGTAAAGGTAAAGGTTTCCCCTTGACATAGTTGTGTCCATGTTTTTGAACTGCTAGGTTGGCTGAAGCTGAGGCTAACAACGGGAGCTCACTCTGTCTGCAGATAGAATGCACCTATGCAACAGTTAGTTAGAATACACTTATGCAACAGCAGTTGAATGGTGACTCAACACACAGGTCAATTCAAGTTGGCCATATGTATAAAGGTAAAGATTTCCCCTTGACATTTAAGTCTAGTCGAGGTCAACTCTGAGGAGTGGTGCTCATCTTCATTTCTAAGCCAAAGAGCCGGCATTGTCCATAGAGACCTCCTAGGTCATGTGGCTGGCATGACTGCATGGAGCACCGTTACCTTCCTGCTGAAGCGATACCTATTGATTTACTCACATTTGCATGTTTTCGAACTGGTAGGTTGGCAAAAGATGGGGCTAACAGTAGGAGCTTACCCTGGTCCCTGGATTTGAAGCTCCAACTTTTTGGTCAGTAAGTTCAGTGGCTCAGCAGTTTACCCTGCTGTGTTACCAGGGAGCCCGCTCTATATAAATGGTCAAAAGGGACCACGGTAGAACTTCCAGTAATTTACTCAGAAGCCAGACCAATTGACAATGTTGTGTAGTGGTTTTAGCACTGGACAATGACTTCTGGAGATCAGGGTTCAAATCCCCACACATTCATGGAAACCCAAGGGGTGACACTGTGTCCTGTCACGCGATGGGCCTGTAATAATTGTCTTTTGAACAGGACGTGCACTTTGTGCCTAGCGGGAAGCCAGGGTGCCTTGATAGAGAGGCCCTAAGGATTTTCCTCTGGAAGAGTCTTTAGAGGCTTGAAAGGTTTAACAAAGTCCTTTATTATTGAACAAATTAAACAAATACTTCTTCAATCTTCAACGCCAATCATACAAATGACAGGTGGCTTTCTTAATCTTGTCCACAAAGGACAGGCAACTTGCTTTGAGAACAGTTTCTTTTCTTTTGAAAGGAAAACCTTTCTTTAACCTCTCCCAGGCAATCTACTATCTAGGCTTTGCTGATGTGGGTCCTACTACCGGTTCCAAACTACTTCTTGGATCCCGAGTAGACCTACCAGTCAAGGCTTTGTAGATTCTCCAGCTGGACTTCTTTGGGTCTGTAAAACTGTTTCCCCCAATTGCTATAAGGCTGAGAGGCTGTAAGTTCCCAGCCAGAGCTTTGGGACTATTTCTCCCCAGAAGCTGTTTCCCCCGAAGCTGTAGGGAATGAAGCTTTTCTGCAGGTGGAGGTGGTCCACGTCCTGTAGCTTAATTTCCTTCTGTAAGACTGAACTAAAAATGGCTCCCTCTCCTCCCAGGGCCCTGGGGAAAGGGGAGGAACCAAAACTTAACAATGATTAGTTGTCTGTCAAACTGGCATTGAATGTTTGCCATATATGTGTATACTGTAATCCGCCCTGAGTCCCCTGCGTGGTGAGAAGGGCAGAATATAGAAACTGCAAATAAATAAATAAATAAATAAATTGATGGGTCATTGGCCCTATAATTGCAAACCAAGGAAGTCACCTTTGCTGAATGCCTGAAACCTTGGAATGCATGCAAACATTCAATAGAAAGAAAATGAAGTTGGTGCTCCTGGTACAGCCGTGCCAGCACACACTGAGTAAATCACACTCTCTGGGATGTACATTGTCAAGGAATGTATTCCCCTTATGCCATTTTATAGCTCTGGTCCTCTAAGAAAGATTTTTACTATGTCATAAATGACTCACAAAAGTGAGTGCAGTAGACATGGCTGGAACAATGTCTGGAAACTGGAGATGTTTATCTGAATCATCTAAATGTAATCCAGGGACTACTCCTTTAGCCCTGAAGGGTTGAACATCATGTCTCTGCAAAGGTCAACAGTGGACCAAGAGACGCGGCGATATCCAAATTTCTTAGTCCCTAGAGAATCCTTTCCACATCCATTTGTCTCTGGAGAAGCCCCAACGTGCTTGCAAAGCAACTTCGGCAAAGGATTCTCAATTGATGCGTGGCACAATTTAGATCTCAAAACATCCTGTGAGCAAATTTGTGTTGTTGAGAGAAAGGAATACCGGCCATATTTGGAGCGCTTCATATTGAAGCACTTCATAGCCACAATGACGGGTGTCAGGCAATCAATCTTTATTATGCTTGGGATTGAAAGAGAAAAATGACTCCTCCATGGGCAGAAGGGTGATAGCTGCACAAAATCCAGTCATTAATGCATTTACATCTCAAAGGTGGAAGGACACATAAAAAGGAATCTGAACGACCCGGTAATTTAACTAAAGCACAACCAATAAAATTTTCCCTATTGTAGTGAATAAAAAGGCAGTAAAGAAGAACACGGCTCAGTGATTCGACTTCCCCGGAGCTACAAGGACACATACCATTCGAAAAGGAGATTTCCTGACATCTTCCTTCTGAACTGGATGAGTGGAGAGAACTGAAACATGTTATATTTTCCCAATTTCTATGCATGGATGTGAAAGACAACAAGGAAAAAATAAAGTCCATCAAAGTGCGATGTTGGGGAGAGTTCTGCAGATTTCGCAGGCTGCCCAGAAGACAAAGAAGTGGGCCAAAAAGCAAAATAATCTTAAACTCTCTCTAGAAGCCAAGATGATTAAACTGTCATACTTTGGACATAGCTTGGGCAGATCAGACTCATTTTCTTAAAAAAGGCAGCCATGTTTGCCAAGGTAAAAGGTGATAGGAAAAGAGGAAGACTGTGTTACAGGTGGAAAAACTCCACCAAAGAAGCTGCAGCCCTGAGTTTGCAAGACATGAGCAGAGCTGTCGAAGGCTTTCATGGCTGGAATCACTGGGTTGTTGTAGGTTTTTCGGGCTATATGGCCATGTTCGAGAAGCATTCTCTCCTGACGTTTCACCTGCATCTATGGTAAGCATCCTCAGAGGTTGTGACCTCTGAGGATGTCACAACCTATAACACCTATAACAACCCAATGAGCAGAGTTGTTCATAACAGAGTGACTTGGACGTCTTTCCCCCCCTCTCGCTTTCCCTCCCTCCCTGCCTGCTTCCTTGCTTCTGGAATTGAAGAAATGTAACAGCTGACATTTCAAAGAAAATAGTTTTTTTCCCCACAAAGAACATGGGGGAGGGGTGGTGGGCAGTGCCTAGCAATTCCAGTGTGATGGCAAAGAATGCTGAGTACAACTGAGTAACATAGATACATTTAACAGTATGATGAAGGTAGGGAAATCATCTGTTTCATTTCAAAACTGAGTATGACTGAGCTCTACTCTACCAAACACTTCCCTCCTTCAATATGACGAGAAGGTACCCAACAGCACTAATAAATGGTGTGGAATCTACTGCAAGTTTCAGTCCAAGCTTTAACAGTCATCCAAGGTGCTGAACTCCAAGGTGCTGAACTTATTACTTCAGAGAGCAACCTTTAAAGTTTGAAGAAACCCTGAAATGATTCTGTGCCGCAGTGGAATGAAGGCCATTGAACTTCACCCTTTGCTCTGAAAGGTCTGTCCCACCTACACCCATACCTTGATGTAACAGCTGATTAAACCTCCCCTTCGTTGGACTTTCAACAAGTCTTCAAAGAGCTTGGCCTGTTCAATGATGTCATGGCTATATTTGCCTTCTGCCATGTCGATGGATTCTGCGACGGCTCCTGTGAAGTCGACGATGGCTTCCGCAGTGCTGCCTCCATCCAAGGCTTCATAACATCCAGCCATCCTAGAGAAACAGGGAGCAAATGGAAGATGATATGTCCATGCACTGGGAAGGCTTGCACTATGGCCAAGAGGATGGCTGAATTTTTTTCTGTCCTTCCAAGGTTAATGCACCAGAGAGAACACCGGATGGACCATGTTTTGAAAGTTTAAGGAGAGTTTGATGAATATGTGTGTGTGTCTTCCATGTCACTATTGACTTATGGTGACCCCATCAATTTCCTAGGACTTGGTTAAACAATTAATCTTCAATTGTTCCTTCCTCTGAAATGAAGCCTGTAGCACAGGTGTCAGCAAACTTCGACCCTCCAAGTGCTTTGGACTTCAACTCCCACAGTTCCTAACAGCCTCAGCCCCCTTCCTTTTCCTCCTCAGCCACTTGGAGGGGCGACGTTTGCCCATGTCTGCTATAGCACCGGGTATTTGTTGATGTGTTACCCAGAGCCATCCCTACTTTTTTTTTCATCATCATCATCATTTAATTACTTATTAATCGCCCTCCATCCAAGATGCTCTAGGCAATTTACAAGCTAAAATTGTAAAGGATAAAAATAAATACATACAAATATTGATAAAATTAACAAAGATCAAAAGCTCTAGTAAAAAGCCAGGTCTTGAGTGCTAGGGTAAAAGGCCCTGAGTCACGAATTGTCCGTAGACACCTCCAAGGTCATATGGCCAGCATGACTGCGTGGAGCGCCATTACCTTCTCGCCAGAACAGTACCTATTGATCTACTCACATTTCCATGTTTTTTAACTGCTAGGTTGGCAGAAGCTGGGGCTAATAGCGGGAGCTTACAACATTCCCCGGATTCGAACCTGTGATCTTTCAATCAGCAAGTTCAGCAGCTCAATGGTTTAACCCACTGCACCACCGGGGGCTACCTCCTTTAGCATACTTAGAAACAAATGGAAGCATTGGGATGGAATTAAGTTCTGGGGTGTCTGAGGGTTATGAGGATCATTTTTATGTTATCTTGGGAAAAGAAATGACAACAAACGAAACAAGTCACATACTTAGCATAAGCTTTTTCCAGAAGCGCACTCCAGAATTCATTGCGGTCATTCGAATGACAGAAGACGAGTTCATTGTTCAAGGTTGGGAGTCGGTCATCAATGACAACGTCGGTCCATTCCCCAAGACACCAGAACCTGAAGTGAAAGATTCCTGCCTGTTTCTCGGGCCTCTTCTGATCCCAGTCCTGTTCCTTAACGTTCGGAATCACCTATAGTTACCAAAGAAAATGATCCAAAGCAGTAAACAGTCATGGATTAAGGGTTAAGCTGGAATGTTCAATATCTTTATTTAAATACCACATGGAGTGCTGTCACCCTGTATTGCAGTAGTAGGTTTGCAACATAGAGTTATGGCACTATTGCCATGATTGCAAATACTGCCCAAACCCACCTTAAAAGCCAGCCACCAGTCCAATCAACTGATGTATCAGATATTCAGGCAGTCTAAGGCATTTAATGGCCTTGCAGCTTCAAAGCCTGGCTGGTTGCTGCCTGGGGGAAGCCACTGAGATACACAAGCATGTGGAGAATTTCAACAAATAGGAGGAAACCACAAAAATGAACAAAATCCGGCTATAAGTATTTAAAAAAACTCCAAAATCAAAACCGTAAATAAAGAGCAACACTCAAAAAGCAGGGGAATTCCAGACAAGAATTAACCAGGGCCAGCTAATACCTCCCAACAAAGGATCCCCCCAAGCAACCAGCCAGACTTTGAAGCTGCAAAACAATTAAATGCTAATCAAGTTATTTAAGGGGCCATCAAAGCCTGGCTAGTTGCTGCCTCAGGGAATCCATTGAAATCCACAATAATGTGGACCATTTCAACAGAAAGGAGGAAACCATGAAAATGAACAAACTCTGGCTACCAGTATTAAAAAAACTCTAAAATCAGAACAGTAAATAAAGAAGAAAATACCAAAACAGGGGGATTCCAGACAGGAAAAATCAGGACCAGCTAATCACCTCCCAACAAAGGATTGCCCCAAGCAGTGAGAAGCCAGACCTTGAAACTACTGGGCCATTAAATGGTAATCAAGCTGGCCAATTGCAATCTTCACCTTTGCCTCAAGCAGACAAGGGTTCTTTCTCCCACCCTGGACATTATTCCACAGATATATAAACCTCACTTGCCTAGTTTCCAACAGACCCCTCAACCTCTGAGAATGCCTGCAATAGATGTGGGTCAAACGTCAGGAGAGAATGCTTCCAGAACATGGCCACACAGCCCGGAAAATTCATAACAATCCAGAATATGGTTCTGCTCTTCAGTGTAGAATACCTTTCTCCAGAGATTCTCCCGAAGAGCAAGGCAGGCGCAGGCTGCTACGAACCAACAGTTTCCCAGTTTCCCTTGATGCAAATCATGAGAACTGATCCCATTCACAAAGAGGCAAGGATCTTCACAGAGCTCCTTTGGGAATAAAAGACACATACACAGAATTACTATCAGCTCTTTACAACTCTGGTCATTGAATTAATGGATCAATTTGTCTAATTTATATCCTTTAGATCAGAATATCACTCAGTACAACGGATGGAACATTGTTCGCAGATTCTCCTAATCAGCCATAGTGGTAAAAAAGGAACTTTTGCAAGTTTTCCCTAATGTTTCATAGTCTAATAATAATAATAATAATAATAATAATAATAATAATAATAATAATCAACTTTATTTGTACCCCACTACCAGGTTTTCTCCTGACATTAAGTCCAGTTGTGTCTGACTCTGGAGGTTGGTGCTCATCTCCATTTCAAAGCCAAAGAGCCAGCGTTGTCTGTAGACACCTCCAAAGGCCGGCACGACTGCATGGAGCACTGTTAACTTCCTGCCAAAGCGGTACCTATTGATCTACTCACGTTTGCATGTTTTCTAACTGCTAGGTTGGCAAAAGCTGGGAACTCACACCACTCACCGGATTCGAGCCTGCGACCTTTCAGTTAACAAGTTCAGCAGCTCAGTGGTTTAATCCACTGCGCCACTGGAGGCTCGAATATATACTATAAACCCATGCACAAAAGGTTTATAAAAGTAACCAATAAAACAGAACAGGATGAGAATCAGGGGAAATCAGTGTAAATAAATGAGTTGACAAACGCTACGGCAATTTGAAAGCTATGGTCTTCATTTTTTGTACTGCACATGAAAATGGAGTCCCATAAATTGGGTGCCACTACTTCGAAGGCCCATCTACAAAATATTCCAGCTTCTTCTACAAGGAAATGGCCAATTGCAACATTCACACCTACCTCAAACAGACAAGAGTTATTTCTCCCACCCTGGACGTCATTCCACAGATATATAAATCCCATTTTTCCTAGTTTCCAACAGACCTCACAACCTCTGAGAATGCCTGCCATAGAGGTGGGTGAAACGTCAGGAGAGAATGCTTATGGAATATGGCCATACAGCCCGGAAAACTCACAACAATCCAGATTATAAACTACTGTTCTCTTGAAATATTAGAAGCTAACCTCATCTTTCTAACAATGTACTCGTAAATTATAACCAATGTCAGGGGACTACCTTTACCTTTTTACTGATACATTATCATGATGGCAAGGTTCTGTTCTATCTCTCAATCTGACTCCCCAAAACCACATTCAGATTCAGGAAGCTAAAGTGAGTCATAGAATCCTTCAGAGTCACTGAACAAGGTGCTGAAATAGAAAATATCCAGTCTCTATCAAGTACAAAACTTTATTATGGTCACTGACCAGTACAAAGCTGGACACAAAAGTCCTGGGAGGGGAAGGACAACTCACCAGTAAAGCAGTTATTTAAAAGCAGATTAGAAAACAGTTTAAAATCACATTTTAAATTGCCTCATCCTGCCAGCAAATGGCTCTACAACAGCGTTTCTCAACCTGGGGGTCGGGATCCCTGGGGGGATCACGAGGGGTGTCAGAGGGGTTGCCAAACCCCATCAGAAAACACAGTATTTTCTGTTGCTCGTGGGGGTTCTGTGTGGGAAGTTTGGCCCAAGTTTGGTTCAGAATGCTCTTTGATTGTAAGTGAACTATAAATGCCAGCAACTACAACATGTCATGGTCCATTTCCCCCAAACTCCACCAGTGTTCAAATTTGGGTATATTCAACATTTGTGCCAAGTTTGGTCCAGATCCATCATTGTTTGAGTCCACAGACCTCTCTGGATGTAGGTGAACTACAACTCCAAAACTCAAGCTCAGTGCCCACCAAACCCTTCCAGTATTTTCTATTGGTCATGGGAGTTCTGTGTTCCAAGTTTGGTTGAATTCTATTGTTGATGGAGTTCTGCTATGCTCCTTGATTGTGGGTTAATTATAAATCCCAGCAACTACAACTCTCAGATGACAAAATCTATCCCCCTCCCCAATCCAACCAGGTTACAAATTTGGGCATATCAGGTATTTGGGCCAAATTGGGTCCAGTGAATGAGAATACATCTTGCATCTATATAAATAAAAATGTAATGTTTGTTTGTGGGATTAACATATCTCAAAAACCACTGGGTGAATTGACTCCAAATTTGGACACAAGGTACCAAACATCCCAATGTATGTCCTTCACTCACAGGTTCGAATCTGGGGAGCGGCGTGAGCTCCCACTGTCAGCCCCAGCTTCTGCCAACCTAGCAGTTCGAAAACATGCAAATGTGAGTAGATCAATAGGTACCGCTCCAGCGGGAAGGAACGGCGCTCCACGCAGTCATGCCAGCCACATGACCTTGGAGGTGTCTACGGACAACGCTGGCTCTTCGGCTTAGAAATGGAGATGAGCACCACACCCCAGAGTCAGACATGACTGGACTTAATGTCAGGGGAAAACCTTTACCTTTACCTTGAACACAATACATCTATCAGACCAACAAGTGACCATCACTCATAAAAACACAGCAGAAGAGACCTAAAAACCAAAAAATAAAAAATACATTACAACGCATGCACAAAACCACATATATACGCAAACACACATATATACACATATACACAAATATGGTTTATATATACACAGATACACAGATTGGGCCACAGCAATGCATGGCAGGGGATGGCTAGTCACTCATAAAAACACTGAAAAACCCAGTAGAAGAGACTTAAAAGCCAAAAAAAAATAAAAAAATAAAAAATACATTACAACTCATGCACAAAACCACATATATATACATGAACACACACATATACACATATACACAAATATATACACACATATACACAGATTGGGCCACAGCAATGCATGGCAGGGGGTGGCTAGTTACTCATAAAACACTGAAAAACACAGTAGAAGAGACTTAAAAAGCCAAAAAACAAAGATTACATTACAACGCATGCGCAAAACCATATTTATATAAGCAAACAAATATATACACACAAAAACACATAAACACAGACTGGGCCACAGCAATGCATGGCAGGGGACGGCTAGTATTAGATATTTACATTACGATTCATAACAGGAGCAAATTCACAGTTTTGAAGTAGCAACAAAAATAATTTTATGGTTGGGGGTCACCACAACATGAGGAACTGTATTAAGGGGTCACAGCATTAGGAAGGTTGACAACCACTGCTCTCCAAAAACCATTAGGGACCTTGGAGATCTCTCTCACTATTCCTTCCGTTCGCCAGGAACAAAGGGCTGCTGATGCCCTCTTGCAATGCCATGCTCTCCAATGCTGCACAATTGCATTCCTTTCTCATGCCCAGATTTTAAGCTTGGTTTGGGAGGCATTTGCAGTCACAGCAGTGGCGCCACAATCATAAATATGAATCCCGTACAGTTATGAGATTGTAAGACCAGTTTATGACATTGTTAAAAGCCTAATAAAATGCTGCAACAATCTGCTTGTAGCAGACAACATCCTAAATCTGCCACAGAATTAGTACGAAATGATTACATTTTAACATCTCTATGCCATGGGCATTGTTTTCTGTCCAACTTCCTTTCCTTTGTAAAATGATTTATAAACTGAGATAACGGCTCAAGTGTTCCACGCAAGTGTTGTGGGGTTTGTTTGTTTTGCTGGAACTTGGATTTGGAAGGCCGTATTATCCTAAATCAATTAACATTCATATCCTTTGACTCATTCAAATGAGTGTGGATCTAATTTGGGTTCCTTTGCCAGGATAACTGTGCTAAGACATTGTGCGAATCGTGGAAAAGGAGACAGAGTCCAGCAAGGCTAGTTGTGGGGATGTGAGCCCCTTAAAAAGCAAAATTAGACCACCAAGACTCTTATGTAATCCAGTATTCTCAGGAATTATTAATGGGAGATATACAAAATGATCAAATATTACAAATTATGTGTTGCTGTGAGTTTTTAGAGCTGTATGGCCATGTTCCAGAAGCATTCTCTCCTGACGTTTCGCCCATATCTATAACAGGCATCCTCAGAGGTTGAGGGGTCTGTTGGAAACTAGACAAGTTAGGTTTATATATCTGCGGAATGTCCAGGGTGGGAGAAAAAACTATTTTGTGTTTGAGGCATATGTCACTGTTGCAATTGGCCCCCTTGATTATTTACAGTATTTATTTATTTATTTACAGTATTTATATACCGCTTTTCTCACCCCTGGGGTCGGGGGACTCAAAGCATTGAATGGCCTTACAGCTTCAAATACTGGCTGCTTACTGCCTGGGGAATCCTTTGTTAGGAGGTGTTAGCTGGCCCTGATTATTTCATGTCTGGAATTCCGCTGTTTTCTGAGTATTTTTCTTTATTTACTCTTATCAGAGAAGAGTTCTTTCTCCCACCCTGGACAAGAGTAAATAAATAATAGCCCTCAGAAAACAGGGAAATTCCAGGCATGAAACAATTAGGGCCAGCTAACACTTCTCAACAAAACATTCCCCCAGGCAGGAAGCAGTCAGTCTTTGAACCTGTACGGCTATTCATTGCTAAGTAAGGTGGCCAATTACAACATTCACACCTACCTCAAACAGACAAGAGTTCTTTCTCCCACCCTGGATATTCTGAAGATATATAAACCTCACTTGCCTAGTTTGAAACAGACCTCACCACCTCTGAGGATGCCTGCCATAGATGTGGGTGAAACATCAGGAGAGAATGCTTTTGGAACACAACCATAAAGCTCGGAAAACTCACAGCAACCCAGTGATTCCGGCCATGAAAGCCTTCAACAACACATTACAAAATATAATAATAATAATAATAATAATAATAATAATAATAATAATAATAACTACAACTTTATTTATACCCTGCCAGTATCTCCCCAAGGGGTCTCGGGGTGGATTACATGAGGCCAATCCCTGCAGTACAACAATGCAAATGTACAACATGGGAATCTATATTAATAAAAATGTAATGTTCTTTTGTGGGATTAACAGAACTCAAAAACCACTGAACGAATTGACACCAAATTTGGACACAATACACCTATCAGGCCAATGAGTGTCCATCACTCATA